AAAGGATCGTTAAAACCATACGGTTCCTTTTCGAAAATTCTAAAAATAAGTCAACAATCATCCATATGAACCAGCAGACACCAAATGTTCTATATGATTATCGATGACTGCACAAATTAAAACGGTGACAAATTAACTTTTACAGAGGGTTTTGACAATATACAAATATATTGTGTTTATCCAAAATTCAAGAGAACCTTAGTAGGTATGCAACCACTGGTGACCGGTATCCATGATGATTAATTACAATTTTTATTGTTAATTATAAAATATGCAATTTTGTGTATTATTAAACGTTGTGTAATATTTTTTTGTGTACGTTAGTTTTAACACGGAGCTGAAGAGGTCTTAATTTTTTTTTTCTTTTAACGTTCCGTTTTCATGCTCATTAATTTCTTCAAACATACAGACAATATATAATGTTTTAATATAGAGAAAATACGAAATGTTGACTATTGTAGAAGTGAGCTAAAATTTCAAATTTGTACAAAAGTTAAACCCAATCTACCATTTTTTTTTTTTTTTTACATTAATTACACAAATACTTCTGCTGTTAGCGCTGATGTAGGCAACATAGTCGCCAAAATATGTATCTGCGTTAAAGTGAATATATTTGTGGATAGGATTTTTATTTAGTAATAATGTTTCATGTATTTCCACAAGTTTCTCTAATTTAAAATTGTATTAAGTATTATACGTTTTTTTATAAAATATTTTAATATTAGTAACATGTAAATTAATAATAAAAATCAAATAATTTACTAAGATTATGTAGATTACAATAGCACTTCAAAAAAGTGTTCGTTAATAAATTTTTTTTTTTTATTATTAATGGTAAAGGCTTCAATTACAGGATTATTAGCCTATAAGTTAATGTACAATAAATTTAGGAATTAGAATAACATGATATTTATAGTTTATGGCTTATATTTACATTGTGAAAAAATTTGATGATTTCAGTGGTGTTTTCTTCTTTGATTGCTTGTTGAAGTGTGAGAGGATTTTTGAGTTTCTTTCGTGCTTCTCTATATTTGGGGCAGTTGATGATTATGTGTTCTGTCGATAATATTTGCTTGCAAGTGTCGCATACTGGTGCTGGTTCCTTGTTGATAAGGTATGCATGGGTTAGGTGAGAATGGCCTATTTTAGCTCGGGTGATGTTTGTTTCATCTCTTCTTTTAATGTTAGGGGGGTACTTCAATTTTTTAACGTTTAGTTTTACATTTCTAAGTTTATTGGAAAGAGGAAGGTTTAGGCAAAAAATTTGCCATTTTTCCATTATTTTGTGGTAAATTATGTTAAAAGTTTCGGGTGAGGTTAATGTCTGGATTTTTGTGGAGAGGGGGGATGTGGTGGCTTCATCTGCTGCCGTGTCTGCTTTCTTATTTCCGGGTATTCTTATATGTGATGGGACCCACATGAAACATATCGATAAATTTGTTTCAGGTATAAATTTCTGAATGTGTTGAACAAGCTCATTCTTGGAATAGGGGTTTGAGATTGATGAGAGGGCACTCATAGAGTCACTGATAATGATGCTGTTGCTTTTGGTATTTGAAGATGTGATGATTTTTAGGGCTGAGTAGATAGCATAAGTTTCCGCTGTATATATGCTAGAAGAGGGCGGTAGTTGAAAAAGGTGATTTTCCTGTTTTGTGATTACTGAGAAACCCACGCCATTTATATTTTTAGAGGCATCAGTGTATAATTGCGTGTATTTCAGAAATTGTTGAGCTATTATTTCATTGAAATAACTGTGTATAATTGAGCTTTCAAGACTGTGTTTGCAGTATTCTGTCAGTTGAGTGTTGATGGAAGGCGACCAGAGATGTATTAAGCATACTAGATCTAGATGTATACAAGAAATATACGAGATATAACTATGTAAGAGATATAACTATTTAATATAATACTCTGCATATAAATAATAAAATATTTGTACTGTGTTGCATTTTGTTAACGTTGCATATAAAACGAGATAATTATTTTTTCTAAGTATAAAAAAAAAAATTACCAGTATGCTCAATTATACTGCGGTTAGTTATTTAAAGGGTAGATATATAAAATTATATTCTCAAACATCGAGAAAACTAATTATATTAATTTAAAATAAGTTTGTACAAAATAATGTATATTTAATTTCACTGACACTCAACAATAAAACATTGTCAAGAGCTCTTTACTCAGTGCAACTGTATTTTATTTTGACTCATATACAATGAAAACACTTAAAACGTTCTTTTGTAAAAACTTTTAAGTAACCATCGTTAGTCGTACACGGTAAAATATAGCATAATTTACTTAATTATTTTTTATGATAATGGGTATATGCATATTGGCCATTGTAGTATATTCGAATAACCATTAAAAATACTTTAATAGTGTTTTAAAATAAAATTATATTACTATAGCACAGCTATTTGGTTGCAAGTAATAAACATGCCTACATAAGTAATACATGCATTGTACCATGTTTTCACTATTGCCGAAAGGTTAGGTACTACTACTAATAGTGTTATAGTAGCTATAATAGCGGTTCAACAACATCATATGGGTTTATAGAATATTATACAAGCATTAACAATAAGAGTCTTTTACGTAACTGGTTTGGGATGTCTAAAGAAATAACACCTTTTTAAGATATTGTTCATTATTATGTAAAACTATTTGTAATAATTTGTATTTGGTAAGATTTAATTAACCATTTTTTATAAATTTCAAACATAACATTTTATGACAACAAAGAAATTGTTAACATCAATTGAGTTACTGATTGTTTGTATAGGTATTCAATACACAATGCAGTGCTCTATTCGCTTAATTACTCGCTGTATTGCTTAATTACAAACTAACTAATCTAAATTTTATTTTACTAATCAATTTTTGTTTTTAAAATAGATAAAAATTGTCTAAAAAAAAGATAAACATTTGAATTAGCTTTTAAACGTTATTGGTACTTTTACTTACTATTTATTTTTAACTTATACATTTTAAACATAATAAATTAGTTTGTCATAACGATTCTTTTATAATTTTTGTTTTTTTTGACATTTTATAAAAAAAATAATCAGCTGGGTAATATAGATATTAGATATGTATGTCACTCTATAACTAGAAATAATGCTGAAAGTTCTTATAAGGTAATTAAAAACGTTTTTTGCTTGTATTATAGAACTTTTTAACCGAAAAATTGCCAAGCTAAAGGTATTTCGGAACTGTTGTTTTATGCGGTTTAAAAAACGTAATGACTGTTGCGTCGTCAGACATTATTCCTGGAAAACGAAACAAGCTTTCTTAAAATTAAATTATATTTAACCTTGTTTAAGTAAAAATATGTAATTAGATTATATTTTCTTAAACTTTACTTGCAAAAAGATGGCAACAAAACTGACGACAAATTGTGTAAACAAGAAAACGTAAGATGGTTTAAGGGGTTTCTACATCTGCGAATTTTTGGTTGAAAACAACTTGTTTTAATTTTACCGTACTTTGAAACGCACAATCCGACAAGTTTTTGGGAGTGCAAAAAAATCCCCCCATCGTTCAAATTCCCCAGAAAGCCATTCACTGCTATACTTGCAAATATTCACCGCATTAATCTTATTTTTTTTTAAAACAAAATTGTTATTTTGTAGTGATAAGTGTTAACTGAGTTAGCTTAGTTTTAATGGGAAGGTATTTAATGGGGGGGGGGGATATGGTTAATTCGTGCAAAAAACGGCAAATTTTTGTGAATTTTTTTTGACGACACAGTTAAAATCTGTTTATTAAAACTAATGGTACATTAAAGTATAACATTCGAAGAATATTGTGTAATATTTTCATGTAGAAATATTAAAAAATACGGCAATGGCGGCAATTATTCGGAAGCGTCTCGGAAAAAAGTAGAATTGCGGTGCCCCTCATAACTCGATGCTGGATCATCCGAAATTAAAAAAATCAAGTTCTTTCGTTAGATAATTGCTTTCCCCAGGTAACACTGGGAGGGTTTTTTGAAATTTTAATTTTTCACTTTTTGGGAACACTTTAAAGGGAAAAACGCGATTTTTGCGGAAAAAATCGGCTAATTTGTTATTGTAAAATAAAAAATATTAACAAATTTGAATAAAGTCTCCAGCGTTACCTCGTTAGTTATGTACTGAAATAGTGTTCAAAATTTTAAAACGATCGGTGTAGTAGTTTTGAAGTTATGGTGGTCACCGACTTTGAAAACGTGAGTTGTGGGAAAAACGCTTTAAAGTTAACGATACTTCGCTCGGGCCGGCAGCTATAAAATTCCGACAACTCATAACGTCGTCAATTTTGTTCCAATCGACTTGAAATTTTGACACAACATTCTTGAGGTATTTTGCATTCAGTTAACAAAAAAAAAAAAAATTTTAATACCCAACCCCCCCCCCTTAAAATATATTTTCCTAATTGTTTTATGATCACTTACTGCATATCTAGCGTAAACCTTACATTTTTTTCTGGACACTTCCAATAGAACCTTTTCTCAGGACTTGATTACTTAATAATTAAATGGTTATGAATTTTTATTGATGTTCGCTACGTACGCACGAAAAATTCCTCGTAATTAGCTAAATAAATAAATACTAGTAACTAACGCAGCATATTTATATAGGTACCTAAATCCTAATAAATATAAACGAATAAATAACAAAGCCCGTTAACCAAATACCTATTTGCTGTTTATTTATTAGCTTTGGACTCGCTATAGTATTGATATTCTTAATCATGATTTTTTTCTGTTGACAACTTAAAGCTGTCTTCTTACCCCCCAAACCAGGGAGTGGCTATAGTAATTTTAATGTGACACAAACAGAAAGACTAAAGTCAGTCTGCCTAGTTAAAATTAAAAATACCGTTCAATATATCATGGTGATAAGATATGAATCATAAAATAGTATACTGGTTTTAGTCCTTCTGTTAGCTACACTATCGCATACAAGCTAGTATATGGTAGTTCATATTTTTGTATTATTGCTCTATGACTCAAACTAAACATGAATATATGGTCTATAGTCCATTGGGTCTTGTACGTCCAATTGTGTCAGAGTGACAATTTTTTCATTCCAATCGGACGCGATACTCGGTATGGACGTGGAAAGAGTTTCCGAACCGTCGCCTAGATCGCCAACGTCGATCGCCGAGGGCACAGCTGCAACAGGAGGCGGTAGTAGATCAATGACTCGCCATACTCTGCACACAAGGACTCGAGTCAGCATCTCCGCGTATTGCACGTCGGTAAGTTTGGGTGGACATCGTTCAGGTTGACCGTACACCTGGATGTACATGGACTTATGCAATGTCCCGTCGATCAGGGATCGCAAAAATCGTCTAACGTCTGCGGCCGTTTCCGCTTCTGATAACTCGGAGTAATCTCGACTGATTAACAGGTCACAGGGCCCTATGGAAATCGATTGGACGGGCACCTCGTGAATGGCCGGCCACCTTTCTAGAGCCCGAAGGGTCTTTTCGCCTTCCACAGCGCACCTATCAATATACAGGGTGATTCATCTAAAGAAAGACACTCATTTTCTCGGAAAATATAAATTTATGTATTTCCCATACTTGTAGGTACATATTTTACTTAGAAAATTTCTGCCTTCATCCCTTATACGTAAAAGAAGTATGGACTTCTTTTTTTTTCAAATGGAAAATGGTTTTTAATTTCATAAAATATTATATCTGAACAATTGTAATTGTCATCAAACTGTGTTTGTTTGCTATGCCTTTGTAAAGATTTTAATTTATGCGCTATTTGATTTTGGAAAACCGAAAACATGTGACAATTATACCGGAAAATGTAAAATCTTTGAAATGTTTTAGCATACGAACATTCAAAATAGTTTTAAAAAATCGCAACTACAAGTGGTTGGAAAAATATTCATATTTTCTGAGATAATGAGTGTCTTACATCAGATGGATCCTGTATAATATTGTATAAATCATAATATTAATAACCGATCATTACTGCGGCGGATCAGCTAAGTTCTCGCCTCGGGTCAAAAGTATTAAGTATTACACATATGTATATATTTATATTATATACATATTAAAATAATATTTATGGGAGCCGGCGGCGGAACGTGGTGGATTCGAGTTGCGATTTCGTAGACGTTTCGATTGACCAGTCAACGGCGGCCGTTCGTCTTGCCACTTGTGATTTATATGTAATTTGCATGTACACGAAGAATATACACGTCCAAGTACTAGGATTGTGCCGTTCGACGCCAGCCTCGGGCTTATTGCCGGGTCGCAATTTTTCTGATCGCACATTATTGTACTTATATGCATGTATTACAACTATTAGTACTAACCCGAACGCCACATATTTTCCGTCCATCCAAGGGTTTGACTGTAGGCTTATTACAAATTCCGGACCATTGTAGGACGTCTGCCGGCCGGCCAACGATATAACGCCCCTTCTATCGTGCTTAAGCTTGAAGTTTTCTTTTTTGAAAAAATCTCCTTGGTTCGTTTTGCCTAAATGATCGGAGAAATACACTGTATTTATAAAATATGACCATGAACCTCCAACACAACCATAGGCCGGGCTATTGTATAGGATGTGAATGGCGAAAAAAAATGTAAAGTCACTTATAACAATTTATAAAATTCATGATTATAAAATAAGTTATTCGTTAAACGTACGTTAAATTTTCTTCAAGACCTTATTGGTAATATTAATAGTATAGAAACCATAAATAGGCCAAGTAATCGATGAAATATTATGTTAAATAGAGTATAGCTTCGTATAATATTGTGAATAATGCAAACGGATTACTGACGTCCGGCTTGTATGAAACCGCTGTTGAATGAAATTCTGTGCACCGGCGTGTTTAGGTAGCCATCGCTGGGGTCCAAGCATAGCCGTTTAAAATAACCGCAAGTCTTTGGTACTAATCTGGTAAACAACTACACCGAGAAAAGAGCACAAAACAGTATAATTTGTTAAAAAGTATAAGGAAAAATAATGAAACTATAAATTGTATGTTATCGTTAATTCTTAAATAATGTGACTTAACTTACTGTAGATTAGTGTTGAAGCATTCTAAATGTTTAAATAATTTTGTACCTATAGATTTGTTTTTAGAGTTTGTATTTATAACGGTTGAAATGTATACATAATATTTATTTACAAGTATATGGGTCGTTATCGTAAAAGTGGTTTAACTCTAGATTTTTAAAGTATACATATTTTTGCTTAATGGACTCGCATCTAGACATACCTTTCATTATAAAAGAGAAGCAAATCAAATAAATGTAAAATAAATCAAAAATAGAAAACGCTGAATGGATAATTCTAAGGTTTTTCATTCACATTAATGTACAAACTGCTCGTTATTTCAAAATTCAATTACAAGGAGATAATTCACTTTTATAACGAATTTATTATATTAATAAATTATAGGATTATATTTACATATTATTTATTATACTACTAGGTTACATTACAATACTAAGGTTGTAGAAGTGCATAAGAACATGTTTGGGCATATTTAAAGAAGGGCAATGTAATAGTAAAACGGTTAAGAAAGATTAATGTAAAAGATCTTCAACGGTTGAGATAAACTGAACAAATTGGAATGGATGTTGTATTATAAATAAGGACGTAAAAAGACATAATACACGGAGAAGATATAGAAACGGTGACAAGTAGTAAAATAGATTTGGCTAGCCGATTCGAATAGTAAAGGAAAAGGCGAGGAAGGAGAAAAATAAACTATATTATTCCTAAAAGAAATAACAACTATGTGACTGTTATGCAGTAATAATATTACGATATGATAATCAAAAACGTACTAACGGCAAAAACAATAGAACCAAATTTGTTTTTTTTGTGATTGAAAGTCATTTTGATAAATGTCACCTAAAAAAAAAATAAAAAATTTAAGATATAAACTTTTTTGAAGATAAATAAAAAAAGATTACCTCAGTTTTATTGTAGTAATTTTGAATGTCTGTGTTAATACATGTTTTAAAATTAATATAATGTAATCTTAAAATGAATTTAAAGTTAAATGCCAAGTACACTTGAAAGTCTTCTTCGGTGCCAATATATTTCTCATTTATAAAAACTATCGCTTTGTAATTGCGTCTTATTCCTCCAAGAGCCTATAAACAACACAATATTAAAAGAAAAATTAGTACGAGGAATAGCTTTTGTTAGGCATGCGAACCTATCTTCGGAAGTAAAATCGAAATTGGATGTATATTTTCTTAGTGGATTGTAGAAAATTAATAACTTTTAAATAATAGTTCTTTGTTAAGGGGCCTACATATGGCCGGTTTGCTAAAAAAACGTGCTTTACGGGTTAAACGTACTAAATGCCAGTGGTCAAATTTTGATAATTTTAAAAGCTACGCGCTGGGCTTACAAAAGAAAAATATTTATTGTCTTAATACATTCAAATACATAATATATAGTCTTTTAATTACAATTTGTATCCCTTAAAATATTTTCCAGAAACTATGTATGCAACACACGTTAACGGTTAAAGAAATCTATATTGTACATATGATACATCTATATTTTATGTATACTACAGGATTATTCATCAACTAGGTATGAGACAGTACCTCTAAGTTTTGGTTAAAATGCTAATTAATAACGTTCAGTAACATTATTTTTAAAATTTTTTTTACTGCTACTTTATTTAGAAATATAGATTTTGAAGAAAAAGTAAAGCTAGACACCACTTTATCTTATAATATTCAAAGAATATTATACACGCAGAGCATGAAACAAATACAAATATTTTACTTGATTTAGTTTCCACATGCACCTTGACCACTCCACGTCCATTACACCCTTAATGTTGTAATCACTGACTAAATACGGGAAATACTGTACTACGTTCTAAAAATTTAAATACTTTAATTAGTTTACAAATATTTTAAACTATTTACTGTAAGAATGAATATCATACCATTACTACACATTTAGCTATTTGAAACGGCCTGCATTTAATGAGCCCTATTACCTTTATGTTCATAGGAATTGAACATTCAGGCTTTTGCGTAGGAACAAAACAATTCTTTACTAACGGAAACATTTTTACAAATTAATAGGACAACACGCCTATGTTTTGTTTTCAAATAGATTTTAATATTTTATAATAAATAATATAAAATAAAGGTTTATATATTTTACCAGAACCATAGAAACAGATTATTATATAGTTATCTACTATTTCAAAAACATAACATTAGTAGGTATCAATATAGAAACCCTACCATGATAATAATTTTAGCTTCAATAAGAAGTTGAGAACGTAATTTTGAAATTTTTATTTAGACCTAATATCATGACAGCTGAAGTCTGGACCGATGTCATCCTACAATATGTCTACAGATCAGAAATTGTACCCAAAAGGTACATTTAAAGGCCAATAGTTATAACAACTAGTGGTACAACTCCTTTCCTCTCAAAAACTTGAAACACCACTATAATGTACACAATTTTTAACTACATGTGTCAAACAAATTCAAACTTTTGTAGGATATTTTTTAGATACATTGAAAAAGTGGAATTTCGTTCTTTTTTCGCTTCTTAGACGAAGTTTTTTGATTAGTCTGAAAATGAGACTGAAGAGTGAAAGAAGATGTGATACTCGTACATTTTATTGTAGTGTAAATTTAAATGGAATAATATGAGTCTTAAAAATTATTTTGTGGCACTAAATAGAGGTTAAATATTTTTAGTAATCATTTTAGTGACTCATATAGTTTAAAAATATATTGAAAAGAGATAAATTTATTTCGATTGTCTATATTATATTTTTTCCTCGTCAAATATTTAATTTCCTCTCGGAGCAAGTAATAACAGATTTCACTTCATCGTTCTATAGAAACAATAAAATATTTGAGGAATGTTTATTGTTGCTAGATAAGTGTTCGTAAAATCGCATCGCAGGCACCATAGACAAATAAGTTGTAAACTTTACCTACTTAGAGCTCTCTCATACGTTTAACGTTCGTTATTCCCGCCGTTCTGGCCTTAGACGGCTTAGATTTGGCATTTTTGGGCTTATAGCTGGCTGCCGCCCTAACGCTACCAAACAAGTTGACCCTAGAGAGAGGGGTGCAGGTGGCCATTTCCCCCCCCCCGACAGTTTCCTGCCCGGATGAATAAACCGCCAGTGGCCGAGATACAAGGTGAAGTAAGGTATATTCGTGATAATCTTACAAAACTATTAATATCACATTCAATTTTAGCGATTATTTTGAATGATTATTAGACGAAGTGTTAGCAAATAGAATACATCATGATTTTAATTATATGACTTTTTTTTTTAATGCAAGTATAAAAATTGGTACCAATCCACCCTATTCTCTAATACTAAAAAAAAAAATGTTTAACACATTTTAACCTTCACAATGCTTTTATCGATGCTAATCTACCATTCGAATCGAAGCGTTTATTTAAATTTTAAAACCTCTCCGTCCCCACTATACCCCGGCCCGACTTGCAGGCTTTTATTATTTTGTTTAAAAGTATAATATTGGTTAGGTTGTATAACTCGAAGCGAAATTTTGAAAAGTCGCATTATAATAATTGATTCTCCGATTCTTTTTTTCATATATCATTTTTAAAATCCCTTGTCGCTGTTTAAGGCTTAAAACATTCCCTATCGCCAACTTGATAATACTTGATAATAACATACGAGTAATGAGCCTATTAATAGTATGTGAGAATGGGGGAATACCAGCTAGTGGGTCAATGATATATCTCTTAAAATATGATAGCTTAATTGATAATAGTAGCTATAATGAAAACTAAAGATGAGCACATAATTTGATAACTGTTGTTACCAGAACCTAATACCAGATGTTTCAAAATGATAATCAATTTTTTCCCACCAAAAAATAATAATCAATTTTTTGATCACTTTTGTTGTAATATTTTTCCAAAATAAAACTCATCTCAAATAAGGAATTTCTATTTTTTTAGTATATTGACTGTTTCTAATATATCACAAACTGCCAATAATTGCATTTATTTGCTCATATTATACCTAAATATTACAGCTTTTAGTAAATACATGTATTTTAAATAAAGTCTAGGGGTAATATCAGTCAAAACTGATGGGGTAATAACGGTCTAACATAACTTATGTAATAACCTTACCTAACTAATATTTTCATTAAACATACAATGTCTTTGAACAATATTATTGTACAATAGGTCTGTACTGAGAACATGCTATTTTGATCATAATTTGTATGTTTTTTAGGAACTTTAATTTTCCCTATCATTTTACATGTGTTTTTTGGGGACTGGTATTACCCCGCTATATGGGTAATGGCTGTCATTTGCAATTTTTAAAAACAATTTTAATAAAATGTTTAACTTAATTTTAAAAATCTGAAACTTATATACATAACACCTAAGAAGTTTATAGTTCGATTTCAAGAAAGAACAGAATCTCTGGACTTTTAGTTCCAAAGATATTTCAATCCTCGCTTAAGTGGCCGTAATTCCCCCACCTTCCCCTAACTAATAAATCAGACAGCTTTTTATAAATGAGCTTTTTTGAAAATATAACAATAATACATTTTTTTCTATTTATATCAGTATGATTCTGTAAAAACTAAAAAATAATTAAATTATACGCCTGTAAACAATTGTAAGTAGTCTATGAGTTATATTAATTTTTTTAAAGAAAAAAATTAACTCACTATGGAAATCATAACACACGTAGTTTTCTATGTTATAGCTATTTACAATAAATACTCTAACGATTAGATTTTTAGGTGTATGTTAAGTGGCCTCTTCCAAGGAGTAAGTATCAATTTTTCATAAGCTATTTCACCGAAATGAAAACACCGAGAATTCTAGTGATATCCCGTAGGATTCCTATGCAGGAATGAAAAACTCCCAAAGATTCCTTTAAGAGAACTTATAATCATCCCTTTAAAGGAGTACACTTTGTTATATTTTATTATTAATATTCTTTATATTGCAGCCAGCAGGGGCAAAGATTCTTTGTATAGGCTCTAAAGACCACGCGAAGACTTTAAATGGATTATATTATCTATACGAGAATTCTGGTTAGGTTAGGTTAGGTTAGGAATCTCCTACGGGAGGTCCGTTAGCCTTATTGTAAAAAAATACTTCAAATATCATGGTCCGATTAAAGTATATTTTATCTCCAATAAAATTCTAACAGTGAAAAAGGGCCAAGACCCCCTCCCAAAAAAGTGAGTCTATCAAAGTAGTGATATCTACATTGTGGCCAAATCTGCTATTTCTTTAGTTTATAACCTCACTTCACACCTACTTTCATGAGCTCTTTTATTTGTACTGCCGTGCGCTCAGATAAAGTTATAAATTCATACACAGACTGACAATATTTTATTTTATATTTGTTGCCATAAAAATTAAACATTGTAGAACAAACTGAGTAAATTGTTTTTAAAATGATATCAATCTGATTAAATCGACTTGAAAAGTACAATTAACTACACATTTATCTTATACAATGATTTAATACAACATCTGTTATAATTCTTAAATTACCAAAGCAAAAGCGAAAATTTGTTATTACAATATTTATGGAATACTCTACCAAATATTAAATAATAATCAAGTATAGTAAAAATATATAATAGTTATTACTTATTAGTAATTATACATTTTTATTATTCTCCTTTCGTCAAATTAGAAAATTCTTTAAGTTTTTAGTAATGTTTTCAGACATATGATCTGAAAAAAAAATCACGTACCTGAAATATAAAAACCTGAATATTGTTATTTATTTATTAGAATATATAGGGGCATGCGCCCTTTGATTACAGAAAAATATAATACACAATTAAACACATTATTACAAATAATTATAAACATTTACAAATTACAATTTATGGTTTAAAAAAGAAGGATCCACATTGGCGGAAGCCATCATCCGTCTATTGGGCTCATTAAGCATATAGTTAGTTAGTTAGTTGGTATATAGTTATTTGGTGGTGGAATGGGGAACATAAAAAGAAGCAAAAAACCGGGAAGATCGTTGAGGAACCTTAAAACATAAAAGGGAGATAAGAACAGAGGAATCTATTTTATTGCTTAACAGACCATTTAAGAATGAGATTCCCATGGAACGTCTACGCTCAGCTAGGGTTGGCAGTCCAAGAACGTCAGATACCGGGTTATAGTTGTGTGACTCACATGGAAGTGTAGTAAATGGCTTGCAAACCGTAAAAACTTTTGCTGAACCCTTTCAAGCTGCATAGAATCAGCAGCAGTACGAGGATCCCAAACACCTGCACCATACTCCAGAATCGGTCGAACAACCACACAATAAAGTGACTTGATAGACATTCCTAGTCGAAAATCTTTGGCTAACCTCATTACGAACCCAAGGGTTTTAAAAGCCTTACAACTAACATACTCAATATGAGGTCCGGGGTCAAGCCTACTATTAAGTTTAAAGCCAAGGTCAATGACGTTTTTTGAAACACGCAAGATAACAGTGACATATAGTGAGACATAGGTAAACTATAAGGTAGAGAAATATTTTGTGCTGGATGATATGAATCAATAGGCACAATAGGTTCATGTGATTTTTAAACAGTTATCAATTTAATACTACAAAAAACAAGGTTTTTTGCTGGCTGCAAATGCCTCAGGGATACAGGGAGCTCGGGGTGCAGAGAAATAGTTATATATAAGGCCACTATCATCATTATCCCAAGATACCTCGGGAATATTATAGTCACCACAGATAATAAAGGTGTGTCTTGGGTACTGACTTTTTAAATATTCAATAGAATTTATGTGGAAATTAGACCAAATGTAGATCTAGAATAAGTCTATAATATATATAAAATGTCCTCAAAAATCTGTAGACAAACATTTTTTTTATTAAGGAAAACCCAAAAAAAGGGGAAAATTGGACTTAGACTGTAGTCAATTTCTAGGTTGCCACGTGTGAGTGAGCCAACAGTCAGCACTCATCAGGTGTTTAATCACGATTTATGGGTAACAAATATAATTTTAAATAATATAACCTAACATTATATTGTAATATATTATGTATATTACAACAGTATAAAATATACAATAAATAAAATTATGAATTAATAGGACGTATAAGCGCGAGTGTACGAATAATCATTTATTTTTAATAGTATATCATTTTTTTTAAGAAAAACTAGATGTTTGTTAGCTAATTTATATTTATTAAACTAGAATAAATAAATAGACTATCGTTACAATAAAATATTATAATAATACTAATTATTATAATATATATTAATATTATAGTGGCATAGTGCCCAGTGTCTAAAATCACATCTTATCTCTCGACTTTAGTGAAACATATTTTATGAACACTGTTTAAAAAACGTGCAAACAAAGGTAACATTTGCGATAAGCAAAAAACTTTGCCCTCTTCAAGTATACTACTATATATTTTTAATTAAGGCTATTTTCGTACGGCTGTTATATTAGCATGCGTGACGCGTGTAACGAATTATATTTGTATGTATAATATTAATATGTTAGATAATTTAAGTATGTTAAGTAATGATGTAATAACCAAATAATGCTAAGAAAAGGATATTTTGTGGGTGATCACAGTATCTCATCACTGTAACTATATCATCCCCTTTGTTGATGGAAAAATTTTCATTTAAGAGGGCGTCGCACCGTGGATTTTCAGTGGTGAAAACATGTTTACGCCGACTAAAAATAACTCGCTTAATTTTGGTTTTAGAGTAAAAGCACCCATTATAAAATTAAAAGAGAACAATATTCCGGAGGGTATCTCGGTGTTTTTTTAAAAAAAATACAGTAATTAAAAAATGTTAAAATAGTCGTTATTTCTAAACGATGTATTGAGCGTTATACTTGGAATAATGAAAAGAACGCACCGTGGTGCCCTCCGAAATATTGTTCTCTCTTAATTTTATTGTGGGCAATTTTATACTAAAACCAAAATCGAGCGAGTTATTTTCAGTGTGCTAAAACATGTAGAGATGAAAAAACTTTTTTAAATCGCTTTCAAGGATACTGTGATAGTCCGAAAAATAAATTAACTACCAAAATAGAGTCCTGTTATTGAACTAATAATTCTACATCACAGTTTAACCTTAAAATTAGGATTTTGTAAAAAATTGCTATACTTTACTCCTTGAAAATGGGCGGTGCGACACCCTCTTAATGCAATAATGTCAACCATACTTGTTTTTAATTTTTTTTTTAATAATTTATGTACATATATTTTTTTTACAACACGGATAAATTTCCAAAAAATAATGCATTCCCAATTTACATCACGAATTTTTGGAGAAGGGAAGTTCTAAATGTTAAATTTTTTTATTAGTTTATTTCGATTACTGATAAAAAAAATTTTTTTTTAAAAAAATGTTTCATAAACTTAATATTGGGGACTGAAAGGGACTGATATAACAAAATATCCAGAAGTCGTTAAATTTGTAAGTAGTATCGTCATTCGTCACGTTTCTATGTCAAATTTAAATAAATCTATGTTTAATTTTTCCAGACCTTATTTTAAATTGTTCTAACTAGTATTACTTGTAACAGTAGGCTACTATTATACTAATGACCTCATCCGAACTAACGATTATCGCAAAAATAATTGCAAACTCTATTAGTACTACTATTACTTTTGTAAAGGTTATTCTCCTATGTTATATCAACTATAGTTAAAGCAGTTAATCAATCATAAAATATTTCATACAATTTTAAAATACATTAATGAGTTTCAAAGAGTTTAACACATTAATGCGTCACACAATTCTATCGCATTAGGTGTATAGTATATAGTGATACACAAATCAATCGACGAGTAGGCCTGTTTTTTTTTTTATTAATTAGTAGCCATTTTTTAGTAATTATAAAACAATGAAGGTGTTATAATTAAATGAATAACAAATTTATCTACAAAAAAATGCCTTTCCACTTGGAAGATTAAGTTAGGTCAACCGTTGGGGTGCGCTTTGATATATGAAAAAATGTAAGGTATGTTTTAGGGGAACACGGGGGACTAAGTAATAACGCTCAATAGGTAATACCTGTCAGTGGCATAGCTCAAATGTAGATAACTTATGCACGTTTTGATAACTGTTGTTATTAAAACCTAATATCATATTTTTCAAAATGATGAACAACTTTTTTCCCATCAAAAAATAATTGTCAGTTTTGTTATCACTTTTGATACATTTTTCCCGAATTAAAAATCGTCTTAAGATAAGAATTTAAAATTTTTTTCTATATTGACTGTTTAATTTATAACTAAAACTGACAAGTTATAAATTGCAGTTATATAATCAAAATCTACCTAAATATTATAGTTTTTAAGTAAATACACGTATTTAAAAAAAAATGATAGGGATAATAACGGCCTAACCTAAGTTATGTAATAACCTAACCTAACTAATATTTTTAATAAATATACTATATTTTTGTACTAATAACTTGTTTTCTTTTATCATAATTTGGATGATTTTTAGGAACATATTGTTTTCTGTCATTTTACATGTATTTTTTGGTGACTGGTATTACCCCGCTATACGGGTAATGGCGGCCATTTGCAATTAAAAATATATATTTTACTGAATTTTCAAAATCTGAAACATACATGATACCTTACAACATTATATTTTGAATTCAAGAAATAAGGACATTTTTGGACTATAAATTTTAGTTCTGAAGATATTTAAATTTTTTCTTAGGTAGCCATGACCCCCCCTCCCCCTTTCACTAGTCCTCAATTCGTGTATTCCGTGTACGACGAATAAAAACTTTTAATTTTCTATTCTTGAGCTTACATATCGCGAATTTATCATGCACGGAGCCATTTGCAGAGATTTGTGGAGCCAGCATTCCAGCGTGCGACCTTTGCGAGGGATGCACATGTGGTCGAGTATGTAACCCACCTTGCGACGTCTTTGTTGGTCGGAGAATTCAAAACAAATGCAGTATGTACACACTACTGTCGAGGATAATTAAAAAATATATAAAACAAGCGACAGCCATTCAATACCAATACCCCGGCGCACCCGGCATGCGTGCCGATCGTCACTGATAGTATATAATATTATGACCGGCGGCAAACGCACAACACGTTGTGTGTAGTTTGTATTATACGCATGTGTTAGTCTGTTTACAACTACAACAGCTCTAGTAACAAATTCCGGCAGCCATGTGTTCTTTTAAGTAGTCGTACCGGTAAATTATTTTGCACTCTATAGTCGACGTTCGGTCGTCGAGCTCAAATCAGCTCTGAAATTCGCATTTTACACACTCCCCTCCTTTCCCCGAAAGTGTAAAAATATAAAATGAACGCGCGCCACGCACTATTGTGATATTTAGTTTTACCGAAATTTTACGCTTTGTTATCTTACGGTTCGTTTTACTTAAAATTAAATTTTTAATAAAGTGTTTAATTTTGTATATTGTCTAGTTGTAAAATCGCCAAGCTATCATGGGTAAAGGAGCAAATATCGATGCGCTAATGGATAATTTGGGTAAGACTGTGTTGTCTACTATTGATTTCGACTTTTATTATCGGTGTGTTTATCGACCATTCCGAACCACTGAACAAAGTACATCATGTGATGAAAACCAGAATTTGCAGTTTTTGTTTAAAAAAACATGTTTGTGATCATATAATATATTTTGCCAACGAGACATTTTTCCAGATGCATTTGTATTATATATTTTTAAATATATATGAAGAAAACTAATGAACACCGCTCATATTACAAAATATATGTTTTTCATTTTGACCCTCTTGCAAAACGTTGTCTAGGTTACTTATGCCATTTTTGGTTCTTATCACTTCATTTTATGACATTCTTATTACGTAAACACACCCACAAGATAAAACCATTGAACTTATTAAATTATTTTGTTTGGATTAAGCTGGGGTAACTCAGGTTACTGTGGGTAATTAAAAAAATATAATATTGAGTCACGTTTTTTCTCAACAAATTACTTAAACCCGCGAGTCCTAATTATTCACAGTGTAATCTAAATTTACCCTTATCAAATGTATTGTATTATTACATATATTACACGTATGTACTTGATTAAAATAATAGAGTTGTGAATTTCTATTTATTTAACTACCCTGAAATTTGTTGGTATTAGGTATACCTGTTTATATAAGTCGTTCGTTTGAACAAAGAACCATACGATTGAACACGGGGCAACTGATATTTTATTCAACGTCTTTATCGATTATTTACATAATTGCATTTCCTATTTAAAAAAAAACCATGCATTTCGCACATCTACAACTCATTTATATGTGTAACAAGATTTTTAAGTTTACATATTATAAGCCTTTACATCAGTAATGGCTATAGTTTGTTAATGTTTATTGCAACTGTTTGCTGTTATTTATCATAACAACCATCTGCATTATCAATTTGAATTGTTTATTCAATGGTAATAATAATAAATGACTATATTTATATCAGTATGTCTGAACGTATAAGACTGAATTCACGTTAAAAGTAAAATATACCATACTTATATATACATCTGTGTATCGAAAATCAATTTGAAACGTTAAAGGCTCTTAAAGGCTTATAAATTAATAGCTATTAAAAAAAAATTATGTCGAACCAAAACATAATCACATGTATCTAAGAGATAGTTCATCTCAATAAATACTAAAAAGTATTAAATAATAATTGTTGAGCACGAGTATAATAAACACAAATGCTATTTATACATTATTATTTGTTATACGCAATAAAGTTCTTTAGAAGTGTTTTTTAATTGTACATATGATTTATCGATTAATGTATAATTAAAATATATTTTGTAGCACAATTTCTTTTGTTTTACTGTTTTTACCTTCTAGGAATTGATTATTAGTATAAAAGTTAAATTTACACAAAAATGATATTACAAAAAAATAACAAAACTGAACTTATTAATAATTTAGTCAATATTGTAAAAATGTATTGTTTAAAATATTTTAACCATATAAATAAAAATAATAGCAACTCTATATATTATTATTATGCAATTTTTTAATATACTGTAATATTAATTACTACTGCATAAATAACGTTGACAAATGTAATAATTGGTGTCCTAATTAATATATTTCAATAAGTATAGTTGTACAATACATAATATGTTTACTCAAATATAACTTTTAACTCAAGTTATTGTTATTTAATTGTTTTTAATAACCAAATATCTAAATCGGGATTTGTACACACACATATACATAATTATAAAAGGAAGATTAGATTTTTAAAGCAAATGAATATATTCGATAAATGAATTATGGTTTCTATAGATATTATTAGTATATTTATATTAAAATATATACTTAAAATGTTTTATCTTTGATTAAAACAAATTTAATGAAATATCACTGGTCTAATGGAATTCGAACTCACGTGGTCAAGAATGTGAAAATGATAAATCGTTTTTAAAAAAATGGCTTATACTATTTTTAAGGATCAGATATGTTTTTAATAATAGTTTCATAGAATATTTAATTTTTGACTAGGTGTTAAATAGAAACTCAAAATGATTTTTCATTTTTATTTTGGATTTATGTAGGTGTGAAAAAAGTCATACAAAACTGACTTTTGACTTAAACAATTTTGCCCAAATTTGACAATTTCGGCTAAATATTAAAATAATACGAAGAAAAAAACTGCACAAAGTAACTAATATTAATTGAAAAATATATTTTAAGACTTTCACGTGGCCTTATTATTGTTGACTAGGTTTGGTCATGCATAACATTTTTAACTAATTAAGTAGCTAGTTATATGTTATAATTATTTGTGTTACTCGGTATCAATCAGACAAGCTTATGATAACGATGGTTAATTCGATCTGTATGTGTTAAGCGAGTTTTTTTAAATGTATGTTAGGTTGATAGTCCGATGCCAGGTCACTAGAGCACAATATTTTTTATGTCATACCAAAAGTAGAAAAAAATATGTATACTTTAAAAGATTTTGTTTTGTGATTAAAATAAACTGATTTCTATGAATTGCGTACGAAGAATTTAAAAATATTTAAAACTGCTCGGTAGTTATACCGTTATGGTGGACCGAAGCCAAATACAACCAAAAAAAAACCTTTAACCCGAAATAAATTTGTAACAATATTATGTTGACGCAAAAACACTGACGAAGTTTCTCGCATACGGCGAAACCTTAAATGGCTTCGCTAACCGCAATAGCACACATAGAGTACTTAAAGCACAAATCAATTAGCTGATATACCTCTGTATTTTGTTTTGTTCTTTGTCTTACACAACATGTAATCTGTTAAAAAATAAACATTTTATTTCAATACATTTTAATTTCTAGTTGGTCAGTATACCAAATTAAGTGGATTACTTTATTAAATAAATTTCTGCGTGTTTAAAGCACTATGAGATGTGTAGCTTGAATATATACATATTTTGTTTTACTCTTATGTTACAAGATTAGTGCAGTGATCAAATTAGCAGGGCACAAGGCAAATAAAGTCCATTATTATTATTTAAAAAAAATATAGTTTATAACGCCCATTAGAAATAATTATAACACCGTTCCTCAACGTTGAGTATTCACTGTATAATGACTATTTTTTTCTTTTCTAATATCTTTTAATAGACGTTATCTTTTTCCATCAAAACCATACCTTTCCCTTTTAGGTACGCTGGTTCACTTTTCCACCAAACTTTTTGTTCTTAAAATTAACAGATTATTTGACGTCTGCTTTTTCAATGTGATCATAAAATGAGTTATGTATTTAATACCTATTAGGGTGGTCCTTAATTATTTCGCGTTTAGTGATATGTCTATTGAATTTCCATTAAAAAGGCAGTCTTAACTATTTTGATTATGACATGTTATTTTACTTGACTACAGAGACAGTAAAAATAGGATATCCACTACCTATTACACAGGGTGTCCCACAAAGACCTGCCAAATGAAATAAGTTTTGTTTTAGCGAATGTTTTTAAGATTTTTTTTAAAAATTAATTTACACTAATTTGCGCTATAAACACCGCGGTTTGTATTGTTATTTATTTTTAAAAAAATTGTTTGGTTACTTTAATTTTTTTAAATGTAAGACAGCCATTTTATTAAGAATAATAATTTGCTGAAATTTTTGACTAGGTGACAAGGAGTAATGGAAATTACTTTTAAAGTTATTTAGGTTTGAAGTGTAGAACGGGTGGAGATGCGCTAGAGTATGCATGCAGATAAAAATAACTACGCACTTACTCTACCGCACGTGTAAAAAGTAACCAAACATTTTTTAAAAATAATTTAAAAAGTAAAACAGTTCAGAGCAATATAACCCATGGTGTTTATAGCGCAAATTAGTGTAAATTCATTTCAAAAAATCTTAAAATTATTCATTAGAACAAAACTTATTTCATTTGTCAAGACTTTGGGAGACACTCTGTATACAATTATTATGGCTGCAGTAATTTTTTTTATGAAAATTAAGACGCAATATTGGTATATTATGTTATGTCAATATTTTAACAAAGAATAATACATCATATTTGTTTATATATTAGTATAACCTGTATGACTTTATTTTTATACATATTTGATGTGAAATCACAATGAAAAAATATACATTACATATTTTTGTAGTTCATGCCTTACCTTCCCAGCTAAACATTTTTTTTTTTTTTTTGGAGGGTAGGATTTAAACAGTTTTTTCCAAATTTTTGAAAAATATTTACTTACAATAAAATTTATCCGATAAAAGCGGTTCCTCGTATAATTATAAGTTTCTTATACATTTTTATGTAAGTGCAAAGGTTAGGGCAAGTTAGCAGTTTTTGAAATTTAAATAAGCTTGACACTGTTTGCTTACATTATCATGTGGAAACATATTTCTAGACTTAGTAGTAATTTTGTATTTGTGTAATGTATTTATGCGTGCTATATATATAAACACCCAAAAATGACAATACTACTAATTAAGTATTACGTGGGCGCGATGTGCTTGTGTAGCGTTTCTATAGCGAAAACAGAATATAATATCGTCAGCCTATTTAGCAATGAGCGTAATACTTAATCCGGCGTAGCATAGGTTTCTAACTTTTACGGTTTACATTTCCCAATAATCGTTTGAACGTTTTATAATTTTAATGTGTTTATCTATTATCTTATAAATAAATAAATCATTGACATTTGTTCTTAATTATTCATGTTTCAATTGTTTATTATATTATAATTATTTTTGCGTTAACGTTAACTGACCTCATTATTATAATTCAATAGTAGTACAGACCAAACCATACTGATATTATAACATATACCTCTCATCATCACTTATCAGCAATTTTCAACTACGGTACCAATAGCCGATTATAAAAATATTATGTACACATTGTCCTAATTATGTATTCTTATCGGTATTCAAGCTAAGATTTGATACTTCCTTTATGAAAAAAACTTTTCCTTTTTTATTTTAAAAGAATATATTGAACTAAATGATATTAATTTTAGTTTATCTATAAACATTTGTATTGAGAACTGATAAATGTCTAGCAAAGTTATAGGTGTCTATTAAGTATAATAATTATACTTAATAATGTTTATAATTATGATGACATTTATTTTGCAATAAATAATTTTACACTCAAAAAGTCTTATTAGTCATATCTCATAGAAGGTTCTACGTGGTTAACGAATATTTGTATTTTGTGTAAATATTTACTCGAGTACGTATACTATTTTAAGTACTCTGATTTAAAACTTCACTGTTTTTAATGTAATTAGTTCTACGAGTTTTGAAAATTTAGAAAATATTATTACCCCTTTTCTTAGACGAAGTAAACCTTTTTCTTCATTTCGCTTTGTTAGATTGAGTATTTGGTTTTAAGGCTTAAAATAATTATTAAAAATTTACACTTGATTAAAAAATAAACTATAAATCAATGGTTTAGGCCAATTTGCAAAAAAAAAAAATATTATTACCTAAATAATGGGGTTTTACATTTAATTAATAAAAAAAAAATTTTAAAAAAAATATATTATTATTATGTTTTTTTGTTGTTAATTTAGCTTTATTGGTTATAAGCCCCTTATTAGATCACTGTGAATGATTCAAACATGGTTAATGGTGCCAATATGTTTTTATGCTGATCTCCGTTTGAATACTTAAATAGTTTATAATAAAGTATTTTGTAACTATATCAATAAAAATATCGAATTATTTTTTTTGATAAAAAAAAAGTGATTACCTACATAATTTTGCGTGGTAAGACAACATAAGTTCTAACAAGTTAAATGAATGCTTTAAAACTCTTATAAGCTGTAGTACAACGCAACGCTTTTATTAACAACCATTGCAGAATATTATACTGTAGTTTTTATTAATACAAACCATAGAACCAAGTGCGTAATAAATTTAATGCTAATGTAATATTTTATAATAAAATATTGTAATGAACTTTTACAAAAAAGTTGAAAAATATTCAACAATTTCTAAGTATAAGATACAAATTGTTTTTTTACATTTTGTTGTTTAGTTAACAATAATGTTTTTAAATTAAAATATTTGATTTAATTTTTGTAGAAAAAACAATTTTTTTGGGGCCCTCTTTACTGACCCAAGTTTAAATTGTAGATTGACATTTTGAACTTCAAGGCATAATGCCAGGTTTTTAAAGAAATTAGTAGTGTACTCATCTTACACATTGTTGTCTAATAAAATCATACAGTCATGACTATTTTTAATATTGTATTTTACAATTGTTCAAACAGATATGTTACCATAATACAAAATTATCTGGAACTATTAAACTACTTGGAAATCTAGAATTTTTACGGTTAAATTATTAATTATCTTTCATGATAAAACAAATACTTAAGGATCTTTTAACACGTTCCTTTTTATCTCGTATAGGTAACATAAAATATATGTGATAAATCACTAAATAAATTAAACAATTATTTTTGTTTAAATATTAATTCCTTTAAATGATAATTGTGATACACGCCTACTTTATTAGGTTTTTAAAAATTAAATGAAGCACTTGAGGTCGTAACCTTGGCTTCTATTTTAATATTAAAGAGTAAACATGTATTTATCTGAAAACATGATTTCTGCTAGTGCCTATAAAATTGATGTAAAAACAATTGTTTATTTTGTTGAAGTATTAAGATAAAACATTATGAAGTTATAGCTATGTTTTTTAATACGTACTTTATGGAGTTACCGAGATTAAAAATTGCAGTCTATCAAATTATTTCTCAATTTATTAATGATTTTCGTTTCTAGGGGACTTTGGATCCTACCAACTGCGACAGTTCCTACTTCATCTACTATCGGCATTTACAGCTGGTCTACACATGTTAGTTCTGGCCACTGTGGCAGCTGTACCCGAATACAAGTATACCTACTTAAATTATTTTCTTTCATTTAATGTAAATATAAATAAGGTAGAGGAACGCCAAAAAAAGAATAATGCTAAGAACAAATTAACAACAATAGGAGCCGAGGCGGCTTTAATGAATTACCGCCCCTAGGCAAATAATATGAGCCGCCTTTGAGCTATAAACTAATTTTCATATTTAAAAAAAGAAAAAAAAATCTCAACAAATAATTTGTGCCTGTCTATGCGGCTTGCTCGAAAATCCACTGCTTGATAAAAGAACAACTGGTGTATGTCAATAAGTGTAAAACCAGAGAAGTGGTGAGGTAGAAGAAGATTACTTTATTTTTTTTTTAATTTCTCATAATAAAATATATAAAAACTATCAGTTATTGTTGTGCGTTTATTTATTTATTTATTTATTCAATGTTAACGACCTAAATGTATTTATTTGTTTGCATCGGTATAGATGTATGGTCCTGGACACAGAAACAAATGCGACAAATACACAATGGATATTAGCTAGTCAAGATAATATAATCGACTCTTGTACAGTAAAAAATGTTTTTAACGAAACAGAAAAATGTCACAATTGGTTATTTAATACTACTTACTATGAAAGCACTAGAGCTACTCAGGTAATCATATTATAAAGCAAACAATTAGCGTTTCAACAGCATGCAATAGCTGAGGAATTATTTTCTTGCTCTATTTTGAGTTTTTTTTTAATATTCAAATGTTCTATTCTTAACAGTTTTGACTATGTTCATTTGATTTAACAATATGCATATACCCTTGAGTGTATGCCTAAAATAATGACAAATTCTTTTTTTGGCGTATCCAGAATTCTAATTTTTTCAGAATAAAGGATATTACTAAAAACAAATTAATAAAAAGGATTTTAAGTGTTTGAAACAACAAACTGTCGTCATTACCTAAGACCATTAAAAATCATTTAAAATGTTCTTATTTGTATAACAAGTAAAAACAATAAGTGCTAGAATGTTATCCTGGTTGTTGTAACATCAAAATATAATATTGCTCATAGCTATCTTATTTATTGATTATAATGGTCACCGCTCGACATACTATACATATTACATTATTATACACATGCATATTTTATTACATAGGTATATATTATACAACAATAATTGTAAGCAAAAAAGTAGAAAATATTATAGTAATATCCAATCTAAATAATTTTACAGTTAACCAAAAGTAATTGAAGTTTCATAAAATTGTTTGTATTGCAGTGGAGTATGATTTGCGACAATCGGTGGATGGGATCTTTGGCCCAGATGAGCTATATGTTGGGAGTGTTTACTGGTGCAGTCGTACTTGGAAGTCTAGCTGATAAGTATGATATTTATGATAAAGCAATCGCATCATTGTCCATTGAATAAAAGTTACATTTTATTATCAGTAAATTTATTGGAAGTTAGTGCCGCGTGATAACCATTTTTAATGAACAGTCCATGGCCTTCAACGGGCTAATAAATTATTTAAATATTATATCTCACCTTAAATTAGCACTCGTTAAGCACATACTCGTATTATTAATTCCATCATTAAAAAAAAACGTATGTGAGTGAGTGGTTTACAGTTAGATTTACTTTGAAAGAAATAATACTCCTGATTTTTTTTAATTAATAAAACCACGTCATAACAGTGATGATACTATTATCAGCTGATAAATCTGATAAAACAAGCATTATATTGTTCAACAAATTTAATGAGCTACTTAAAATGTTAAATGTAATTTAATAGCCTACCGTTCGAATACAAATTAAAGTATAATAGTATAATATTTTGAACCTAAACTAGAACTGTTATGTGTATCATAAACCTATTGTATAGATAAAAAATACAGTATATTTGGATAGCTAACAAAATATATTATATTGTACAATATGTTGATATCTCAGAAAGGTTACTATTTAGTGATTTATTGAAATATTATTACACAATTAAATAGGCTGTTTGCTGTATCAGTATAATAATATACTTATTATGTTTGCTTAATATTTCGTATTTACACTCACATGCTTACATTATTCATGATAATTATATTATCATTTTTTATTTCGATTCATTATTAAAACCAACGAGTTAAGATTGAAACTACCCATGCTTATTGGTACATATGTATATATTTTCTAGATTGAATTTCTAACTTCTCCTCCCTTTCCCCAAGTAAGCTGAACACATATATTATTTGTGGCAGACATTTTTTAATTTTAAACTTTTAAGCGATTTAAATTTTATTTATCCACGTTAAAAATTAGCTTAAACTTGTGTGAGCTGATCACTGACAGTACATCATATTACGAATTATTTTTATACTTTTAAAATATCTTTACAGATATGGCCGTAAGAAGATTTTCTGCTATTCAGCAGTTTTACAACTAATTGTTAGTGTCGGAGTTGCATTTATCAACAATTACTGGCTGTTTATTGTGATCACTTACATCTATGGTATTTTCGGTTCGTCCGGTGCCTACATTTCCGGATTTGTATTGAGTAAATATTTTTATATTCTTATTTTGTACCTAATAAATAACATAATAATTGTAACAATTGAAAATTAATCATTTATAGCTATGGAATTGGTAGGACCTTCGGTTCGTTCTTTGTGTGGTATTTTGTTCCAAATGACATTTGCGTCTGGTATCATGGCAGTAGCCGGTTGGGGATACCTGATTAGAGATTCATTTTTATTACAAATCATCTATGGTTTACACAGTTTGCTTTTAATACCTCACTTGTGGTAAGTAACATTACAACAAAACCCCTCCACTTTGTTCTGTGTAAAAAAATGATTTTAGTACTATAAAGTTGTAATATCATATCGTATTAAACTAAGTTAAGTATACCGAAAATAATATAATAGATATAATGTATCTATTTACTTGATGACAAAATGTTTACAGGGATATAGAATTGTTAGGTTAACAGTTATACATTTTTGAATTATTCTGGGTCACTAAATTTACGATAAATATTTACTAACAGTAATAAATATTAAAATTGTATTTATTAAATTTCAATTTTAATTACAATATTGGGTAATATTTTCGGTTTACTTAACACAATACAATATGATATCACAACTTTGTAGTGCTTAAACTTATTACTAAGGCTATTTTTTTTAGTTGGCTTTTTTTACACGAAACAAAGTTTTTTTTTATAATATCTAATTTATAATATAAAGTTACAAGTGTTTGTTAGGAAAATGCACACTGTATTTTATATAGGTTTTTTCTCAAATAAGTTAAAATTTTAGTAAACACTAATTTACATGTATTGTATTGTATAATATTATATCATACTGTTCAATAAACTACGTGTAGATGAATAAACTTAGCTTATTAAAACCTTTTAAAAATGTATATAATACTACACTTTATACTGCATTTTGAATGGTAACACAAAGGGAATTTACACTTGTACAACCACGTGTAGTATGTTTATGCTTATAAACGTAAAACATAATACTATTACACAAAGAACATTACTAAACTGCATAGACGACTACACTAGGATACAAGTACGCCAAAATGACGACACCATGCTCAAGTATACTGGATTGCTACTCTTCTTCGTCGAAATTGTTGGTGATAAAAATAAAATGACAGCGTAAATGGAACCAATCCAATCCATTTATTTTATAAAGATATTTGTGTATATTATATTCACTGATCCCTTTTACGCTGTAATTTTGTGAAATAATAATATAATGGTAAACGGAGTAGAGAAATGCAATAATCATGGTCCATGGAATTTTTTACCTGAAAAAGTTGGCACATATTTTTGCTTCATGACTCCACTTCACTTTTCATTATTAACATAATTTTAACAAAAGAATAATCTGCACAATATTTATGATATTGTAACGCACATTTGATTTAAATCGGTTCGGTAGTTCGTTAGTTAGAGAGCTGCGTTGAAAACAAGAAATTTCCATTGTTTAAATGGGCAAACTCGGCTTTTAGATATTATACACTGTCGCAGTGCTCGCTATGGCGCATGGATCGAGAACACAAATAAAGCATACTGTGCAATAAAATAATTACCTGTTTTTTTTTCGTCTTATATTTTAAATTACATATTTCATACAGCAAAACAAAAATATTTATATTTATAAAACATCTTCACTATTGCCTAAAATTGGGATATTCGATACTTTTATAATCTCTAACTATGTTCGTTTTTGTGTTTTAATAATGTTTAACGTGTTTTGCGACTTCCAGGTTAATAGATGAATCGCCAAGATGGTTATGGGGCCAAGGAAGAAAAGAAGAAGCGTTGAAAATCATACAAAAAGCGGCGAAGACCAATAATAAAACTGTGCCGTTGTCTTTGGAAATAGATCAAACGACGGCATTAGACGAAAAACAAATAAATCAAGGATCTGATCAATCGTATACGATATTAGATTTATTCAAAACACCCAACATGAGAAAGAACACGATAAATGTTTGCATCTTCTGGTAATATAGATAAAGTACATTTTATTTTTATGTCTCTAAATTGAGCCCTTTAAAAGCAAAGATGGTGTAAGTTAAATTTTTAGAAAATTGTGAAATATGATGTAAATGAACATTCAAACAATTAACAGTCAAATGCACAAATGGCGTAAGTCATAGCTTTATTTAATATTATTCAGAACGTGAGCTCTAGTTTAAAATAAAATGTTCAACGATTATTAATTTGTATTAATAACAATAAATCCTTACGTATTACACCCAGTACCTACAGTATACTGATAATGGCATACGTCACTTTGCTTTTGACTGTCTCAATTAGAAAGGGAAGCTGATACAGTCTCAACATTGTACATTTTTTGTTTTTACCCAAAAGTAGTTAATATTAAAATCCTAATAAACGGAGCAGATTAAATTGTAGTGTAACCTTGCACCAAAATTGGCTTTAGCTCTCAAAACTCTTTAAATAATTAAGACTTTAGTTACTTCTTTGTGGCATCAAGTTGTTACTTTGCTATCAAAATGATACCGATTATTACCTATTATATTATAATGTGTAATGTTAATAGTACTTTTTATTACAGGTTTGCCGCTAGTTTTGGTTACTATGGGATTTCCTTGCGAACTGGTAAATTGTCTGGAAGTCCTTACTTTAATCTATTTGTAACGGCAGCAGTCGAAATACCGAGTTACTTGTTTGTAATCGTAGCAATGGATCGGTTAGGAAGACGCTTTCTCAATAGTTCAATGATGATAATTGGCGCACTTTCGTTATTATCGTCTGCATTTTTCCCTTCTGGTTACTTTTATTTTTCATATATAAACACCAAGCTAGTTTTTTTGTTGAAAAAATGTAATTAATATCATTTTTTCTATATTTTGTTTAGACCCGCTTTCGCAAAGTATATCCACAAACGTTGTATTCGTGGGCAAGTTTTGTATAGCCGGAGCGTTTGCCATAATATACAATTACACGGTGGAACTTTTCCCAACTGTGGTACGAAACACAGCTTTAGGACTTGGCAGCATGTTTGCTCGGTTGGCTGGAGGTTTCACGCCACTTGTCGCGTTGATGGTCAGTTAACATCCAATTAAAAGAAAAAAACAGCACAGTTGATACTCTGTACTTACTCTGTTCACAATAAGAAAGAACTTCAGCGGCTACCCAAAACCCGGTTTTTTACGTGGCTTTCAGATATCCTCCGAGGTTCGTTCTTATTGTGAACAGAGTATAGTAACATATAACAAATGTGCATTGGCCAGCTTAACAAGGGGTCTTTTCGGTCACCTTGAAAAACAATCACAAAACAACTAACACTCCATAGCCAAACGTTTGCATTTGTAGTATTAAAAACTAAATATTTTTGTTATAGGACACATACGACGAAAAATTACCTGTAATAACGTTTGCCTTAGTGACATTATTTGCTGGCATCCTTAGTACTTTTCTACCAGAAACTCTTAACAAGTCCATGCCTCAAACCATGCAAGACGGAGAGGAATTTGGAGAGGGAGACACGTGTTTTTCGACTGGATGTTTTGGCCGTTCAAAAAAATTGCTAAAAGAAAAAGACATACCCCTTGAAAGTTACTAAAAAAATTATGTACAGCAAATATAAAAAAAAGCTGAAATAATTTTTATACGTACAATTTTTATGATGTATATTTTTTTAATATTAATTTACATTTTATACTTAGAGTGTTTCTTTAATTATTAATTTATTTTTCTTGACAATCCCTGAGAAAACTCATTACACATTACATCCGTAGGCAAAAGTCAAATTCATAAGTGGCTCAGTCAAAATGGCTTCATAATTTGTTCTTGTTTTTTTTTTTTATAAATTCTAAAATAAAATTAGCTACCGCAGTTGGACGGGATATATAGGTATAATGGTCGGGGACCGGTTGGTCACAGGATTGTTATGATTAAGAACGGAAAATTATATAATCACTCTCAAGAAATCGTGTTATTACAAGTCAGTATTATTCTATAGATAATTAAGAAAAATTCAGTATCGATAGCAATCATTAATGTAGGTAATATCTTTAACAATGTTGTCAGCTTTGGCGTTAACTAGCGCCAGCGGAAGGGCAGGGCAGAAGGGGCAGCTGTCCAGGGCCCCGCGCCTTTCATGGGATTTAATGATTTGTATGCGGAGTATGCCTAAAATCTTGTTTTTCAAATTAAATAACAAGTGTCGTCTGTCATATAAAAATTGTTTTGGTATTTTAATCTTTAACTTCAATACTATTATTTATTTTTAGTAGGTCGGTACTCGGTACTTCGCTTTGGTGATAAAATATGATATCCATATTAAGAAAATATAATCAACAGAGAAATTTTGGTTCGCCTGCGTTATTGTTTATTTATAGTACAAAAATGATTACTCCTTATCTTGTACTGGACACTGACAAGGAATAATATTATTTCTAAATAATTGTTATCGTCGATATTTGTACGGTGTATCAATTGTTAATAGCTGGAATATAATATTGGTAAGTTTTGGATGTTTTTGTTTCTTTTTAAACAATGATTGAAGCCTGAGATATATTATTCCGCGTAAACAAATAACGGTTTCGTCAAATGTTTAAAATGTAAGGCGAAAATTGAATACCGCTTTTAGTTTTTGCATTTGGAGTCGTGCGTATATTTTGCCTAGTTAATAATTCGGCCCTTACAAATAGTCAATAATATAGTGTTCCTTTTTAATAATTTATAAATGCATATTTTTTGCATTGAAGTTCCAGGAAACCCCTTTTCATTTTTTCGTTAATATAAATAAAAAGGTTTCGCCATGTTTCTAATTATTATTGAAGTACAATAAGATCTTTTAGAATATAGTCCAATATTTAAATGATTTTTTGTGTATAAATTGCTTGTAGGTGAACATAAATATTAACCATGGAGTTCCCTATCTCTCTATTCAAAACTTAAATGTGGCCGCGACCGTGATAAATTTCGGAAATATATTTGTATATAAAATAAAAAAATAATATTATTTTTGTGAGTTTTTCGTTTGACCCATTTTGATGAGAACACGAAAAAAAATAGGTAGTCTAGGAGTTTATAACGTGATAACCGCAAAATGACCGCCGATATTATCAGCTGTGTATAACCCATATATATATATCTGTGGTATTACCAATGGAAATTATCCAGCGATGTTTTGAAAATTGATAACACGACTCATAAATAGATGATAAACCAATTTATTCTTTCACGTACACAATCTACTAAATCCCAATGCATGTCGCATGATCAAATGCGTTGCCTGACGCACTCACATGAGTCACTGTTTAAATTATGTATCTTGGATAGGATAAATGATAAAAACAATCCGTAAATTGTTTATAATTAATATGTTATCATGATTTATATTGTACAAAAAACGACAACATTCAGTCTATTCGGATTCAAGTGACTGTAGAGTCCAAGACAACAGCTATAGAAACCATTACAAAAAAAACCAATCGTGGATGAACGTTAAACGCTGATTACATTATTCTTCGTTTAATTTTTTGTTAGTTTTCAATATATATTCTTTCACATTGACTGCTGTAAAATATATAATATTATTACTTACCAGAATAGTTTAAATGTAAATATATAATGTTACCAACAGATACACCAATATATCACGAAAAACAAGTAATTTCACAAATATAGTTTATTAAATTGAATACCTTACGTTTGTACAATTATTAATTATTCCTTTTTTTTTTTTTTTAATATTCTGCAGTCAAAAGAGTTATGTGCATTGCACGCTTTAAACAATTTATTTCAGTCGAAGGAGGCATTTAAGCAAATGGAACTGGATGCTATCTGCTTTTCACTATCTCCTAACAATTATATAAATCCACATCGGTCAATATTAGGTCTAGGCAATTATGATGTCAACGTGTTGATAGCCGCCTTACAAAACAAAGGCTTTAACGCTGTATGGTTTGACAAAAGGAAGTAAGTATTATAAAATGAAAATGTTTGTTATCTGTACATTATCAAAGAACACTTTTAATAAATGCTTAATAAGCTAAAATAATTGTATTAAAATTTTAATAAATTGTTTCTATTATTAAAATTATTGTTCAGTGTTTGACAATATAATTTCATTTTAAATCTATTTGTTGTTTCTTAACCCTTTCATTACTGACATCCTCGTACAAGGATTTCACTTTAAAATTCAACTAAAATATTAACAACGTACTATCATTATCAAAAATGTCTTTTAATACAAGTTTTCGTATAGATTGATGATAAAAAAATCGACAAAGCTATATTGAAAATCAATATTAGTCTGATACGTAAAAAAATTGTTGTTATTTTTTTTGAAAAAAAAATCCCAGGGACTAATAGGTTAAGATATTGTAGTCTTATTTAAATTTTATTTTGTTTGTTAAAAATAAAATAAGTGTACTGCTTATTACAGGGATCCGAAAATGTTGAAGTTGGATAAAATATTTGGTTTTGTAATGAATATTCCAAGTGAATGCCGTCTGGGCTTTTTATGGCTACCTTTAAAACGGCGCCATTGGATATCTATAAAAAACATTAATGGTGTATACTACAATTTAGATTCAAAGTTATCTCAGCCTTTACGCATTGGAAGCGTATGTTTTATTTTTGTAATATTGTTATTAAATAATATGTCAAGTGTAATACATTTTGATATGTGTTAAATTCTTACAGGAAAATGATCTTTTTAATTACTTTAGAGACCAACTTTATGTGAATGACAATCAACTGTTTGTTGTTGTCACTAAGGATAATAACAGTTGGATGAGAAAAGAAGATGGAGAAGAAAACTTAGTTGACAACACAAAAGCACATGCACAAGAAAAAATATAGTAATAAAAAAATTTGCTATAAATATTTTTTTAAATTATGTTGTAAAATAATTTTAATGTTTAAGCTTAATTGCATTAATCGTTACCAAAATTGATTAAGGTTACAGAGTTTATTGACATGTTAGATTGGTGAATATGTACAGTATTAAGTATGATTGGTGTTAAAAATATTTGTTACCATTATTTACCTGCAATAATAATTTGTTATTTATAATTTATTGATTGTACTGCACCTATTTACTACACATATAAATAAATAAAAAATACAGATTTTCATAACAATTTGAATACCTGTATTGTTCAATCTTGCAAACTATATTCAAAATAAATAATCAGAAGTATTTATTTTATGAGAAAACAAATTGAAAAATAAATCACGTTTAATGTTCATAAGGTAAATATGATTATAAACATTTTATAATCCAACAAAAAAATTATAAATATGATTGTATAAATTAGATAAATATAAATAAATATAATGAGTACCTATTTATTCGACTATAAAAATTATTGCTCTAAGTTGCTATTAAATATAATGAACATTGTAGCTGCTTATATTGATGCAAATAATTGGATAATTATCAGTAATTGTATAAAAATATGACCTTATAAATTAAAATAAAAAATGACATTACAAATTATGTACAGTAAAATAAATATAAAAATTGTACGCTTAAAAATAAGCATAACATTTTATACAATTGGAAATAAATGCATACAAATGGATTGATACACTGAATATGTAATTGATATTACATAATTATAAATGTATTCTTTACTTACAACAAATTTTGAATTAGGTGAATATTTTAGAATAACAGTTTTTACTTTAATTACTATGATAATGATGGCAATTTTACTTTCTAAATTATAAGGTTTTTGGATACCTAGCTCGTTAATTATTAATTGTTTAAAAAAATACATAGATTTGATTTAACATATAGAAAAGATAGCAGAATGTACCTTGTGTAAAGGAAGACTTCGGTATGTGAATGAGATACAATTCAATAGAAGCCAATGCTTTTAAGTAATACATACAAAAAGTTTAATTATTTATAATGAATTTAACAAAGTAAACATAAAACAATTTTACCTGGTCTAATATTATTGAACATTTATTGAAGCATTAAAGACTCTAAGTTTCTATGCAGAATTGTATCTTTAACCGCATTGAATACGACTTTAATGTTTTCTGTGTCTACAGCAGTAGTGAAATGATGAAACAATGATTTTCTAGGATCACGTTTAGCCTGGCGGAAAAAATCTAACAAAAATGCTTGCACATCTGGTAAACAATGAGGATCACCTAAAACAACAAATAAATGAATTTAAATATATTTCAATTGAATATTTAACTATCAGTTGAGATTATTATAGAATTTTCAGAATGTAATTAAATGTAAATGTACGTTGTTATTGCAAACCGCAAAAAAAAACGTTACTAAGCGGGGTATAATTTTTTTTAAATAACAATAAAATTAAGTCCTTTGTATAAATCTAAAAAAAGTTTTGTCATGCCAGTTGGAGTTTCTTGCCATTTACTTTAATACGGCTGCTATACAGTGAAGGCTGAAAATGTATAGCAGAATAAAAAAGGTGGCATTACCAATTTTCAAACAAAACAAAATTAAAATTCAGATATCAGTTGAAAATTAATATTTTGTAGCACAAATTTTTTTTTACTTAATAGTCTATCAATAAAAAAGATGCACCACATTTTACGAAACTTCCCTTTAATCTTTATTTCTTGTGTTTTTTACAGGCAAGTTTTTCATATGGGAGAGGGATTTTATTAAGCTTATCGTTATCACTAATTATATTAAAATGAAGTTTAAGTATAAAGTAATCATATTTCTCTATTTTCTATAGTAATTTTAAAAAATAGTGCATGTTATTAACTGAATAATACTTTAATTAAGATTATTTTTTATACATATTTTTAAACATGTTTATGTGGATATTAGTGGCCCTGTTCTTTAAGTAGTCGTGCTAGATTTTTAAAAGTATTAAACTATGTTGTACATGGTGAAACTACTCAAATGTAAAAAAAAAAAAATAATAATATACTTGGACTATATTTTTTTATTTTAATATTTTAAAACAAGAAAAGATTAAATTGAAAAGTGGTATCATGGAAAGTATCCTTTACTCGAAACATACAAATTCAAGATTGTCATTACTTTTAATATCATTTATATATATATATATATATATATATATATATTTCCTTTTATTATTAATGGCTTCTTTTTTATTATTACTATAAAACTAATTATAATATATCGTTTCAATAAACAAAACTTACTCTCATGCACAATATGGAGGAGCATGGAAAAATAACAAATTCAAATGATAAATTAATGGCATCAAATTGTGGTACATATTATATAGTAACTCGTATAGAAGCTTGTAATATTATTGACTAAAAAAACGTACCTGCATAATCTGGGAAATAATTTTTTATGTTTGTTTCTCTCCTTTCTAATTTGTCAGCTAATAGGTCTGTTTTGTTCATAAAAAGAATTATTGAAACACGTCGAAATATTACATTATTTACAATTGAATCAAAAATATTTTTTGATTCTTCTAGTCTATTTGTTTTCCTGCAAAAAAATATATAAATTAATTTAGTATTGAAAATATTTATAAAATAAATAATAAGTACATTTTTGTTCATTGTGTTGTAAACATGTATAATTATTAAAAACGATTGAAAAAAATTATATTGTATTACACAATTTATGAAAATAACATATAATAAATATAACTTTAAAATAAATTAGGACTGTTTAATATTTTATAGTTATTTATTCATTAATGCAAGATGTATTTAGATTAATACCATTGCAAATAATGCATTTAAAATAAATATAACTAAATTGTATTGTGTTTTTATCTTTACTGACAATTAATGATGTTATTAGCGAGTTTTCCAGCAATTTTTCTTATTGGGTATATTTAGATTAAGTTAAAAACAAAGAGTTAGTAGAGGGCATGGATTTATTTTAAAAATATCTGGTGATTGTCTATTTGGAACTAGCAACACCTGGACGGTTTAAAAGCAGCGTCAGGTGGCAATTCACCCTGATCACTGTACTACTCGTACGGTATATTTTTTTAGCTGCCCATTAGACAATTTCCATAACAGCTTTTTTAAATTTTGTTTGGTTTTACCTGTCTTCTACGAGAACTTGATCAAATTCCGAGGAAGAAACCAGAAAGAGTATTGATGTAACTGAGTCAAAACACTGAAACCATTTCTGTCGCTGTGATCTTTGTCCACCCACATCAACAAATCGAAATGGAATATTGTTTATTGGAATTGTAAACTCATAAATGCCTTTAGTAGCTCTTCTGGCATGCAAAATATCTTTATTAGTTGGTAAATAATCCTAAAAGGAAATTTCCATTATTTTTGGTGTAGAATAAATAAAAAAGTACTAGGTAAAACAATAAAAATTATATCAACGACTTACACTTCTTGCAATATTTTCGATATTATCAAGAAAATATTGCACAGAGTCACTTAATTGAAATTCTCTTCTTCGTTCAAATGCTCTTTTAATAGCTCCATCTTTCCACAAACAATACATTGATGGAGCATAAGCAAGAAATAACCTTGTATCTAATGTGGTGCGATTGTCAAACTTTAAAACAAATTCAGCACGTTCATTATTGTCAGGATTTTCCCAAGGTATACCTAACTTTTGTCTAGCATCTACTAATACTTTCATGCCTAAAATAAAAAATCAATAATATCATCATCTTATTTTACTAACTGGACATTATGCTACATCTATAAAAAAATTTTTAAAAAAAATCATTACCTCTTAATATATTTTGGTATATTATATGTTGGTATTCAATAACAAGGTCCGGTTCAAATTTTATACCATGTATGATGCGCATTTGTTTGAGAAATGTCGATTTACCACTCTCACCAGCTCCCAATAATAGCAATTTTACTTGGCGACGTAACAGGTGTTTATCCTTGTCTATTAGCTTGTCAATTTCTTTACTTCTGTAACGCTGTTCCATTTCATCAGCGCTGAATTTGAAACGCAAACAACAAGGACACGTAATTGTACATCTTGCCATTTTTCAAAGCGTATCATCTTTTTTCACAAAAAACAATATGTATTAAAGGCTCAGATAATTCCTGTAAATATAAACAATTTGAATAACATGTACAAAGTCAGTTTTTAAATGTTCAATCCATAAAAAGTTTTTATAATTAATAATTAATATGCAGTGACTAGAGATAAGTACTAAAAAGTACAACAATTTAATACTAGTTATTTCTGGGTGGTCCTAAATCTGTAATTGAAGTTTAAACTTCTATATTTTTCATGAATACAAAATAAACTACTTACATAAATGCAAAGAGACACATCCCACATTGCTGATCATTTATCAAGTTAAATTATGTACGAGTTTAATTACAGCAATAACGTCAACAAACGTAAATTGTTAAATTTAATTAGGTACTTATTTTACTTTTTAGGGCTTGTATCTTACATTTCTTTTTTATTGTGTTTGTATAGATAAGAAGATAACATATTATTTTCATGGCACGTCCGCTCGACGCCATCTTTTGGTGGATTTTAAGTTATCAAATTATTATCACAACAAACAATATATACCTTCCCAGTTGATTGTTTAGAAGAGGATAGAGGCAAAGCAGACAAGGTAAGACATTATTGCATCAACAACTAATGTTTTTTTTTCTCTTCAATTTTAAAAGTATAAGTTTTTTTCTGTTTATTCAAAATGTAAAGGTCTGTATTAAAAAATACAATATTTATTAATTTCATAATAAGTGGTTAATTTGTTTAATTTATTGTTTGTTAGAACTATTATTAATGCATTAGGGAAAAGAATAAATATACTCGTATAGCTTACTAAACAATTTTAGTCTAATATTTAGTCAAATATGTTTTTTGTTGCTGTGCTTTATAACATAATTAAAAAAAAATGAATTTCAGTTTTTAAATTTGTTAATTTACACCTACTCGTAATTAAATAATTGTTAAAGGTTGTACAATTTTCTTGTACTATTGGTATTTTTAATAGTTATAACTTATAATATTATTATTTATTTACGTATTTACTTAACCAGTGACGTAGCTACCGTGGGTACAGGGGGGCAGCTGCCCTTGGGCGCATTCTATTTTGGGGCGTTCTTGTATGGTTTGCTATACACATTAACATGTATAGAGCGAAAAAAATGTCTTGCTCCTGGGTGTATTAGTCTCTAGTTACGCCACTGTACTTAACCATATAGTTTATTATTAATGATATAACTATTTTAAATACAAACTACATATTTCAATTCAATGTAATAAAGTGATTCAGTCAATTTGCATGTTTAATGTTGGACCATATTATATACTAATGATATACATTTTATGTTTGTTAGTTTCAAGCCATTTAGATAATTCAAACTAATGAGATAGCAATGTTCAACTATACTTTGGACACTTTAAGAAGGTACTTCGTCGAGTCGACGGCGACCGGTTTCCACCCCGCGACATGATCATAGTTCGGCTCCGCCTACTGTGTATACAGATACAACCTAGGTGGCAACTGACGAATTTTGGTCCGTCGTGCAGCTACCTTCTTAAAGTGTCCGGAGTGTATCTGTAACCATTTAAAAAATGAAAACTCATTAATTTAACAACCTTGGTAATGCATACACTATTCTAGTAGCCTAAAATATGTAAACTTAAAATTTGTATATTTGCTTACTAGAGGAAATTAATTATGTATCCTCATAGTTCATACTTTATTTAATGTATGCCCTAAATTGTTTTTAAACATGCTATGAAATTGGTTTGTTATCATATCATATTTTAGAAATTACTATTCTAATATATCATTATCTATCTTAAACAATTCGTCATTTTAGCCTTTTCATGTGTTGTGTGTTGCGATAACTATTTAAATATTTAGTAAATTTAACCAAAGTTTAATAAATCTTTAAAATGTAAATTGTTTCTGTTTTTTATAGTATATTAATTTACGTTTTTGTTGAAAACAAGAAGAATATAATATGTCTAAAAGAAACAATGAAGAAGGAGGCTCTGAAGAGCCCCCTTTGAAAAAAGTACAATTTGAACCAGTTCGACTTGGTCCTATATCAACTATGGAAGAACTAGATATAAAAGTTTTACAATATCAAAACAAAAAATTAGCACAGGTAGAATTTACATGTTTAATACCTTAATTTGTTAACATTTTCATTAAATAGTGTTTTTTATTAAAAATAATTAGAGGTTAGAACTGAAAAATAGATCAGACATAGAATTAAAAAATCGAATTGAACAACTGGAAAAACGCCAAACACAAGACGACTCGGTTTTAAATGTTGTAAATCGCTATTGGAATCAGTTAAATGAAGATATTCGTATACTTTTGCAAAGATTTGATGCTGAAACTGCTGATGAATTAGAAAGCATAAGTATATGTTTTATTAATGTTTCAATTTAATATTAATTTTACATTAACCAAATACATAATTTTTAGATGAAAGTGATGCCACAACATCATTTTTAATTCAATTGTCGACATGGGACAAAGAAGAGTTGGACGAAAAATTAGCTCATCGTGTGCAAGTCTCTAAACGAGCAGTAGCAAAAGTCATTCAAGCTTTTGATAGACTTATGCAAAGAAATGCAAAAATAACGCTTGCTCTCAGGGGAGAATGTGATGGAGGTATAACATAGTAAAATTTAATGTATAATATTATAAAGTAAATTCTATTTAATATTGTAGATGAAGCACCAAATGTCGATAAAGTAATTCGACAACTTAACAATCAACTTCAAAGTGAGAATCAAAGTCTACATTCCATAAACACATCGTTACATATGGGACATCATAAAATGTCATTAAAGGTAAAGTTGATATAAACTAAATGTTGTGTCTGAGATCAATTAATAACTTTCTTCTTAAAATATTAGAAAACAATTTTTTTTTTTTAATAACTTAAAATTGTCTGGATTTGAAGCTGGGTACACACTAGGGAACCATACCAGTTCCACAAATCCATTTCTAATGGTTTTTGCCTTTTGGGACAACTAAAACAAATTTAACAGTGATGTTGAAGGTTCACGAGATGTTTGGCTTGCTAGTGTGTGACTTAATTCACTAGATTTACAATAGATTTAGCAAGGAGATTAAACAGATACAGCTTTTTTATTATCACAGTTTTTAATTTTTGCTGTTTTTGTAATATAAATATTTTATTAAGTTTTAATTATAAATTGTTGTTTTAGTTAATTTCTTGAATTTATAGATTAACGTTTTATTATCATTCATTTAAGTTTTATATTAAAATACTCAAATGTATTTTTTTTTTTTAACAATTAACAATATAAAAATAAATTTCTAAAAGAAATAATTATAGTTTATTAATAAAAACCTTAAATAAAACTTAAATTTTAATTTAGGTGGCTAGTCTTCAAGACACTGTTAATTGTAAAGAGACCGAAGTAGCAGAACTGCGAAATCAAATTGAAGAACTACATTACGAGGTCCAAAAATACCGAGAAAGAAATAATAAACTTGAAACCCATTTAGCTGAATCAAGGGAAAAATTAAAAACATTAGAAGTTATGCAAGTTGATGATAAAGGTACACAAAAACAAGAGACAACTATTTGTCAGTCAAATTTATCGTTACAAAAGGTAATATATTATCAAACACCACATTTGTAGATATGATTTGCTCAAGATGTATTGAGAATTAGTATTTTAATCGAATTGACATTATTATTTTCTTCCTTTGATTTATTAAAATTATAACAACATTACATTGTTCGAAATTATATTGTACAAATATATTAAATGAACCAATTTTATAATTTTTCTCTACTTCTCACATATTATATTGTTAATATTATCTTGTATGTTTTTATTAATAAATTAATTTATTAAGTTCTTGTTTCTAAGACCACACATTATATTTTATTTTGTTTATACAATATAGGTAGAAGAATTACAAAAGGAAACTGAAGAATTAAGAGAACTTAGTAATAATAGACTTCAAGAATTGGATAAACTGCACCAACAGCACAAAGAAGCCCTAATGGAAGTCGAAAAGTTAAAAATGGATGTATGTATTTAACAAAATATTATTTCTAGTAGTATTTTAAACTAGTCTAAGAACGGTTTTTATTACAATGATAAAGTTCTTTAGCAAAATTGTTATTTAATATACATTAACGTCACTTACAAATTTTCATTTAAAATTTTTTTTATATAAGTTATTTTATTCTGTTGAGTCTACTTGTTAATTGAACCATCAAATAATGCATTTAACGTAATAATATTTGATAATTAAATTATTAAAAATGTTAAATGTTATTTTTCAATTTTAGCTGAGACAACTTCCAGAAAGTGTCATTGTAGAAACAACAGAATATAAATGCTTGCAATCACACTTCTCAGTGTTGTATAATGAATTTATGGTGATGCGAAATCAACTAATCGAAACTACAGGATTACTTCAGAATAGTAAAAATACTCATTTACGACAAATGGAAATTATGGAGGTTAGTTAGTTTGTTTGTTGCTTTATCATATATCCGACGCTCCGTATGAAAAGTAGCACCATTCGTGAGTTCTTACGAAGACTAGCACCATTCACAGATTTTTACAAAAAGTAGTACCATTCAAGTTCTTACGAAAACTAGCACTGTTGGGCTATTGTTCCCATTGTTGCAAACGGTGCTAGTTTTCGTAAGAAATTTGCGAACGGTGCTACTTTTTGTACGGGTCGTCGACTATAATCGATAACTATAATAGGTGCTTTTTTTAATTTTGAGTTTTTTCTAACAAACTTAATTTTAAGTTACATTAGTGTCAATTTTCTAGTCTTTATCATCACTGTAAAGATACATACTAATATATATATAAATAATTATATTTAAGAGTGATGAGTTAACTGCACAAAAAAAATTTCGAGCTGATCTAATAACAGCTGAAGATGTTAATGCTCAATTACGTAAGGAGTATGAAATGTTACGTATTGAATTTGAACAAAACTTGGCCGCCAATGAACAAACTGGCCCTATTAATAGAGAAATGAGACATTTGTTATCGTCACTACAAAATCACAACAACCAACTTAAAGGAGAACTACATAGATACAAACGAAAATACAAAGACGCAAATGCAGAAGTACCAAAAGTGAGAATTTATAACTCATTGTATAATAATGAATTACGGCAAATATATTATTGTTCTTTGTATACAAATTCTATAACTTGTTATAATAAAAAACACAATATTTGTATTACTATAAACTTAAGTGTCTTTTTTTTTTTAATTTTTAATTTATATTTTATAGTTGAAAAAAGAATTAGAAGATCATAAATTAAAGTTGGGTCAACAAGTTACTGCTGTTGTACAAGATACAAAAGAAGGACTATTAGAGACGAATAAAGAAGAAGAATGTAGTATGAATGAAAGTTTAAAAGAAGAATTTCAAGCATCCCAAATTGTTTTGAAAAAAGATGAAGATATTGAAGTAATGTTATTATATTTTAAAAATTATTTGGTAGTGTACAAATTGTAAACATTATAAAAAAAATGTTTAGGGTTTACCGCAGCCAGCTGAAGAAGGTACTCAAATTGAAGAAAAGGTCGATGTAAAAAATATAAAGAAAGAACAATTAAAAGAAGGTCAACAAACACCTAATAAAACAACAACAGCAGCAGCTGGGCCTTCGACTACTCCTGATCAAAAACCTGTTAATCAAAAAGATGTTGTCAGAAATTGGGAAAGTGAAACTCTAAGAGACTTAAAAACTCAACTTAAGTATGAAATTGTATAAATATGCTGTCAATTCTTTATCTTATGACCAAAAAAACATTATAGGAAAGCTATGAATGATCAAAAAGAAATGAAACTACTGTTAGATATGTATAGAGGAGTTAGTAAAGACCAAAGGGATAAAGTTCAACTCTTAGCATCTGAAAAAAAATTAAGAGCTGAATTAGAAGAAGCAAAACAATCATTAAAAAAAATCCAAGTACTTTTTGTTTTACAAATATTCATATGATTGATTTTTTATTATATTTCTGTTTCATATTTTTTTTATTTTTATTTTAATGAAGGAAGGTAAAAGAGAAGAACGCAAAAAACTAGCAGATGAAGATGCTTTACGCAAAATCAAACAACTAGAAGAACATAACGTTCAGTTACAAAAACAAGTTGCAACTCACAAACAAGTATAAATTTAATTAAACTATAATACGAATGAAGCGTAACAAAAATATAAAATAATAATATTTATTATTATTATTAAAAAAATTGTTCTTATTTTTAAAATATCTTCTTCTTCTTCCGTGACTTGATACGGGTGGCGGGTGCCTCGCTGTGTCGTGATTTCAATAACAAAGCTGTTGTTCGTTATCACGGTTGTTCTTTATTTTTTATAGATATTATTTATTACAATATGTGTCGGTGAGGGCGGGACTCACATAAGTTCGCCACTCACGCTGGGGAAAAGGGCACTAGGTACCTCGCAGATGGAGAGCTATGTTATCCTACCGGGAATACACAGGTGGGGGGGATATGATGGGGTGACTAGGCGGAACGTAGGGCAGCTTGAATAAGCGCCTACAGACTCTAGTTACCGGGAGAAGTCTACTGCGGATACCGCTACTGTCGGTTCCGCTGCTGCTGGGGCCGCTGTGGTTGGTGTGGCTACTGCTCGTGCCGCTTGCTACTGCTGGCAGTGGAGTGTTGAGATGTTGCCGGTTGATTGGAGAGGTGTCGGCTTCCAATTGATCCAGTGTATGATAATATCCGGATGGTTGGAAGAAGACTGTGAAGAATTTGGGATTGCGGTCGGTATTTATGCTTGTTTCATAAAAACCCCGCAATCCCATTGGTCGATTTTTTGTTAATGGTTTTTGGTCGTCGGGTTTGCTATTCGGTACGGCGGCATAGTGTGTTCATTGGTGGCCTTGAGAAAGGCCGTTTGTTGTATTGCTCCCTTACAGACTTTGGCCTTCAAGACCACGTCGTTCAACAAATTTCCCTCCAAATTTCCCTATCCAATGCTAACTCCTTCCAATCCATCCCTGGTCTCACTTTCTCTATGTCTTCTTTGACCCTATCTTCCCAGTGTAATCTCGGCCTTCCAAGTGGTCGTTTTTCTTGTGGTACATTCTCCTGTACTATTTTTACCAATGATCCTGTTTTTCGCCAAGAATGACCTGCCCACTTCAGTCTTCTTTTGGTACTATCCTCTTTAATGCTTGGCCTTTGATACAAATCCTGAAGTTCCTTGTTTTTACGTATTCTCCATTCACCTGTAGATTCGTCTTTACATGGTCCATACATTTTTCTCAGTACCTTTCTTTCAAATACTAATAGAGCATTTTCATCTATTTCCCTTAAGGTCCAAGTTTACGAACCATATGTCACAACTGGCTTGATAAGTGTCTGATATATTTGGGACTTCAGATTTCTAGAGATTAATCTAGATCTTAATAACTTTGTCAGGCCAAAATAACATTTATTGGCAGCTTGTATTCTAGCTTTTATTTCCATACCTATTTCATTCTGCTGTGTTATTAGTGTGCCAAGGTATTTGAACTGCTGTACTCTTTTGAACTTGTAGTTTTCGACTTCTAGGTACTCATTGCGGCGACCTACTTGCTCGTGTCTTTGAACTACCATATATTCAGTTTTTTCAGAGTTAATCTCTAGACCTATATGTTTTGCAGCATTTTTGAGTTTTTTTTATTGTTCTTTGAGTTTATCTTTACTTTCTGCCATCAAGACTATGTTGTCTGCATATGTTAAGATTCCAAGGTTATTTTCTCCTAGTTTTACACCTTCCTTATCTAGAGTTGCTTCTCTTATTACTTTTTCTAAGGCTATGTTAAATAGAACCGGTGACATAGCATGACCCTGTTTTAGGCCTGTTGTCACTCGTACCGTCTTCGATAGAGTGTGTCCTACTTTTACTTTGATGTCAGTGTGACCAATGCTGCATTCAATGAGGTTTATTAACTTTCGTGGCATTCTAAAGTCTTAATTAAAGACGCTCTATGTATCAAATTATAAGCTTTTTTGTAATCGATAAATAACATATGCACGCTTTTATTATATTCCCAAGTTTTTTGTAACACCTGGCGTAGAATGAAGATTTGATCTATCGTAGAGCGGTTTTGCATGAATCCAGCCTGATAGTCTCCTAAAATCCGTTCTGCCCAAGGTTTGATTCTATCTAGTATACAATAAGATAAAATCTTATACGTTACATTAAGCTGAGCAATCCCTCTATAATTGTTGCATATTTGTTTGTCCCCTTTCTTGTAGATGGGGTAAACTAAGGCTGTCTTCCATTCCTTTGGTATCTCTTCTTTTTGCCATGTTAAACTTACTAGTCAGTGTATGTATTTAGATAGATTAGCTGCTCCTGTTTTGAGTAGCTCTCCGGTAATCCCATCTTCACTGGGTGACTTGTGGTTTTTTAGGGCTTTTATTTGGTTCGAAATTTCCTCTACCGTAGGTTCGGGATATTCTTCTCTATTTGGTTCTTTATTCTCAAAATGGAATGGATTAATAGGTTCCCTGCAGTTCAGCAGCTGGTCGAAGTATTGTGCCCATTCCTCAACTATGTCATCTCTATTCGTTAGCAAAGTATCATTTTCGTTTCTTAAGAAATTTTCTTTCGGTTTAAAATCTTTCCTTAGAGAGTTAATCTTCTTATATAGGTCTCTTGTCCAATGATTTTTATAGTCTTGATCCGCATTCTTTACTATGTCTTTAATACATTTTCTTTTCTCGCATCTTATAATTTTGCTTGCTTCTTTTAGTCTTGTTTTATATATAGAGAATTTTTCTCCATTTTGAATATCCTTTAACCAGACTTCCCTCGCTTGCATCTTGCGTTGTAGAGCATTTTCGCATACCTGGTTAAACCACGGGTTCCTCAGAAATCGTCGTACCCCGACTGTTTTTTTTGTCGTTTTGCGAATCACATTTCTTATAGCCGACCATCTATGGAAATCTTCACAAGTTTTAAAATATATTATTATATTTTTGTAAATTCAATTTCAAGGAAGAGGAAGCCATGCTTAGTGAAATGGAAGTCACTGGCCAAGCATATGAGGATATGCAAGAACAAAATTCAAGGTTAATACAGCAGCTGCGTGAAAAAGATGATGCAAATTTCAAACTAATGACGGAGAGAATTAAATCTAATCAGCTTCATAAATTAGCTCGAGAAGAAACGGATACACTTAAGGAGTTGGTTAGTTTCAAAGAAACTTACGTCTCACACTTTACTATTTCTTACTAGTTTAGATTAATATTTTGGTTGAATTCAGTGCACAATCATGCTATCATTTTTAAACTTAACTGATGAGAATAAACATTAAACATTAAATTAAGGCTTATTATTTCTGCAGATAAAAACTTTGACTAATCAAGTCGAAATGACAAATACAGTAGTTCGTAAACTAGAAGAAAAAGAACGTATACTACAGAATTCATTAGCTACAGTTGAGAAAGAATGTTCGATTCGGCAACAAGCCATGGAAATGCACAAACGGAAAGCGATAGAAAGTTCTCAATCTGCCGCTGATCTAAAATTACATCTTGGTAATAGACATTTAATTTTTTTTTTATTTGTCCAATTTTAAATTTTGTTTAAATATTCAAACATTTATTTATGTATAGATAAATATCACGCACAAATGAAAGAAGCTCAACAAATAGTAACGGAAAAAACAAGTTCTCTTGAAGCCGAAGCGTACAAAACTAAAAGACTTCAGGTATACTTATTGCTTGTCATTGTATGCATATGTGTTCATAGATATATCTGCAATGAACATGTATTTTACCGTATGGCCCATATTTTGTATATTATAGGAAGAAATTGTACAATTAAGACGAAAAACTGAACGTATGAAGAAAATCGAACAGGCTGGTACATTGGATGAAGTTATGATGGAAGAAATAAAAGAATACAAAGAAACACTTACTTGTCCATCATGCAAAGTAAAACGTAAGGATGCAGTTCTTACAAAATGTTTTCACGTATTTTGTTGGGAATGTTTACGAACTCGCTACGAGACAAGACAAAGAAAATGTCCAAAATGTAATGCAACGTTTGGAGCTAACGATTATCACAGACTATATCTTGGCTCCTAAGTTTTTTTAAAGCTTATTAATTGGTTTGAGTCTATAATAATTTGTGAGCTAAAATTATTCGATCTTTTTTTTCATTTAGTCAGATCTTCTATTTATCATTATTATGTGATGACAATTTACTATGAAGCTTGGATTTATTATAACCAACTGCATTATAGTTTTTTCATTATATTTCTCCTACTTTTTATAAATCACATAATAGTTCATGTTAATAGAAAATAAAATCAGTTTATAAACTGATAAATATTAATTAATGTAAATATTATTTATAATATTGATGTAGTGTGATTAAATCAATGTCCAAATAATTAAAATTTTATTAAAAAACAATAATGATTAAACCAAAAAATTATAATAGTTGTTTTTACTTTTAAATTGTGCTATTCGTCTTTCACTCCCTAAAATTATTTTTTCTTTTTAAATATGCCAATGAAAATTGAAATTGATTTTCACTAAAAGATAGATAAAAAATAACACGTTTTAATTTTAACCTTAAAGAACTTAATATTAGGGAGGCATTAGAAATGTTAAAAAATAGAATCAATTTGTTTAACTGGAACTTGATTCTATTACAAAACATTTTATTAAAATGTATAAAACGTGTTGACGATGAGTCATCATTTGTGGTATGACAACACTATATATAAATATTAGGTGTTCTCCCATAACCGGTCTCAATCTTTTGTTAGCACTGAAGATGACAATATTGTTGCTGAAATACATATACACAGAAAGTGTACTACTTTTACGGTTATGGGTTTAAGTATTAATTTCTTTATTTTCCAACTTAATTTAGATGTCTACAGATCAAATTAAACTCTGTGATTGTTATTTCAACATATTAATTGTGATTATTAACATGCGTTAATAAGAAAAAAAATGAATAAAGGTCATATAATTAAAAAATTGTGATTTATTTATGTAATGTTTAAACATGCCAAATTTTTTTTTATTAACTATAAAATAAAAATTACAAAGATACCAAAAATTAATTGAAAAATGTCTTGCTGTATAATGTATAAGCCAAAATAGTCATATATTTACCATCAGTTTTAGTAATTTAGTTATAAAAAAAAAAAAGTAATTTTCATTAATTTCTATAACGCATCGATGCTGGTCTTCTCATAAAACGATTTTCAGGCGGAGTAATACAAACATCTAAATAGTCGCCAATGGTAAATCTGAAAAATACATGATATTATGTTTTGTTGATGAAACTAATACAATCTCCCAGGTTGTTAGTTTTAAAATAATAAACTGAATTAATGTTTAGTAATCAATTAATGTTTAGTCAGTTTATAACTGTATTCAAAATTAAACCTTTTTTTTTTAATGAAACTACTTGTATTAAGTAGATTAAAAAATCTATAAAACAAAATTCAGGCAAAAAAAAAAGGAGAAAAAAAATTAAACTAAATTAATTTATAGCACCTGTAATGGCACTAAATATAAATAAAATTATAAAAATATTGAAGGTTGTAATTTTAAACATACCTTGTGTTAGCTAAAGTTTTTAAGTCGCCAGGTGATCTATTTCCTGCCACTGTAGTTCCAATTTCATATCCAATAAATCTAGGCGAGCTGTATTCAGGTGTTACTAAGACAAAATCAAATGTAGTTCCACGTGCTCGTGATTCAACATTAACCTCCTTAATAAGACCTGTTAATTCTCTTAGAGTTGCATCCGTCCTGTAGAACAGTGCATAATACACATTTTTGTATGAACGCACAAAAAATGAAATACATATTTATTTGGTGATGTATTTTTGAAAATAATAAATCAAGTAGTTTTTACCATGTATATATTTGGAGTTCGTTGCCAGGTACAGCACCTCTGTAATACTCAGCCATATTATTATGATGCCCCAAAGCACAGAACACCCTCAATAACAGTGGACAAGTCTAAAACAATAAAATGAACAAAATATTAGGCAAATTGTATAGTAACGCATATTACTGAATACCTTTTTGCCATCTTGTAGTTTTTTTTATGTTGATTTCTAATCATAAGTTAGAAATCTTTAGACTCCTCTAGTTAAAAAATTTAAACTTTTTGAACTTTGAGAATCAATCATTGGGCAAGACAAGCATACATCACCATCCAGCTGCAGTGATGGAACTGGAAAACACAACAGTTTGCTGACCACTGCAGCTCGGTACGACTGGATAGTGAAGCGTATGCCTCGCTCAACAATAATTCTTTAAGTTTGAGTGGCTATAACTTTTGAACAAAGAAGTCTGCTAATTTCTGAATTAAAATTCATTATCAATGTAAAAATTCTAACTAAAATCAAACTTCAGAATAGTAAACAAATAATCACAATAATTAGGTGTCTGGTAAAGTGCATTGGTTTCATGTTAACTGTTTAAAATTATTAATGTTTATTTTACCTTTTCTCTATTGACTGGTTTTTCTTCGACTTTCACAAGTGACTCGACAGCAGCCATTTCTGAATTGAAAGCTACTTTTCTTTTAATAAAACAAAAATAAGTATTAAAATATTCAAATTAGTAATCATACATATAATCAATTACAAAAAACATTAAACACCCCTTTGAAACAGTCATTGTGTTTCTTTTAAATTACCAATTCTTATTGTTTTCTTGATAATTTGATTTAATAATATTTTGATGAAAAAGTCAGCACTCAAAAACCGGAATTTACAACTTGTGCTCTAGCTATTTTTGTGAATTGTCCAACGAAATATGAAACAAATAGTAAAAATTACTAAGTTCAGACCAAAAATCAAAATTGCTTTAATACTATAATTACCGCTACACTAATGTAAATTAAACGAGTGTGAAACTAGCAGTTCCATTCTAGCAATTTGTGATAACAATTTTCCGTATGGACCACAGTGGTTACCGACTGGTGACCTAAGAAATATCATGATATCTACCGCTAGAGGCCGCCGTATATTCCGTGTATGCGACGTCGACGACTCCATCCGCCGTGACCCGGCAAACACGCCACTACCGCCGCGCCCAAGACCGAGCAACTTCGACCCGGGCGCGCTAAGGTGGCGACGGGCACATCGCCGCACCAGCTGCCGCCGGCAAACACGGTAAAGAACATTATATACTATATTTATAACATATATAAAAAGGTACTTTATTTGTTGCTAGTCAATAGAACTGCTGGTGATGTTATTGTAAATAAAACGGCTATTTTAAATACATAGGCTATCATGTAGTTAAAAAAACTACATATGTACTATACTACGTACTTTAATTTAAAAAATACATGATGTTAAGAAATTTCATCATAACAAAATTAAACAATGAATCTAATTGAAATATTTTTAAATATAATGTTTATCACTTTAAACTATTGGCATAAAATATTATAAAAAAATTAGTTCATACATGGAATTTGGTCTACTTGGAAGGTGCTTTAAGTTATATAATAAATTAAATACAAGGTATCACAATCTTTAGGGATAGTTTCAATAATATCTCCCATTGCCTTCATATCAAATGATCAAAATATGAAGTTGACCAGAACATCCTTGGCGCTAAGCTTATGAATATTGGTAAGGGACACTTCGATACGAGCCATCATTGGATGGTCACTCATTTGATGTATCACAAAGAAAGCTTTGTTGTCCTTAAAATCAACACAGTGCATATCTTGCAAATATGACATACTGCGTATCATATTGTTGATAAATTGAACGAGCGAGTGCCAAAATACTCGGTGACCTGCCGTACGATAAGCAATATAAGATGTAAGCCCCCATCCCAAGTAGCTTTTAAGTACTTAACGTAAAAGTTAAAAAATTAAGAAAAAAACACGAACTGCGATTCGCGTCACCACGCATCGACAGGTCTGCCGCTCGACGCACCGCGCCGCGCAGTGCCATGCGCAACGATATACTGTAACTTCAAATAGCTGTAACTTTTGAACTACACGAGTCCGACAATTTCTGATTACAGATTTGAATTAAGCATGCAAAAACACACATTTTGAATAAAAAAAATTCAAAAATATCAAAAGTTAGCTAAACTAGAATTGTTCCAAAAATTCCGATACTTCGTTAATTAAATGTTCCTTGACAGACTCCTTAAACATTGAACCATCTTTTGAGAAATAACTATTATCTGTATTCTCATTGTTTGAAGATTTTTACAAAGGCACAACGTTTATTGTGCCTTTAGTAACATCTTTTGTAAAACAAAATTTTGTTGAAAAATCTCGCTCAACTCTCGCTATATCATCAACTAACTCGCCATGAGCTGAATTATTTTTATCGTGATTTATATAGCATACCGGAATCGTCTTAGGTTAATTTAACATTGTCCACATCATTTTTAATAATATTTACATCTTGAACACTTTCATCAGCCAATAATGCCACGGTTGTTGATGCCACTGATTGTCTATAAATATTTTATTGTTTGTTTTCTTTAACAACAAATGATTTAGTAAGCGGAATTTCTTCTGAAGGCTCATTTGAAGTAAATGATGTTGACTCCGGAACCATTGATTTTGTACAATTTTTATCTTCTTCATTTTGTTCAGTTGGTACTAATTCATCAAATATGATTTCACTTGAATGTTCTTTCGTTTCAACTTTTTCCTACAGACTCATTTTGTAAACTTAAACTTGAATTTTCTTCTATTACATCATCTTCGGCTAAAACAGATTTATCAACTATATGTTTTAGAATACATGATTTCCTAGAATACATTTTTTGTCGAAAAGAAGTTTCTCGCTTATTACCAATAAAGTCATAATTTTCTTTTAAACCTAATTGATCTCCATTATTCTGATGAGATCTTTCTTAATTGTCTACATGTTCATCGATCTACTCATAGCCTTCTGTCACATCGTGAATATCCATTGAAACTAAGCTACTAGAAAGATCTTCATCGATTTCATCGTTCCCAATTTCCCTCGACGGGCCTGCTTCCTCTTCTATGGGTGTCAGTTTAAAACTAATATAGAAATATGTATATATATTAAGTTGTGAACTACAAAAGTTATAAATAATTGGTATTGTTGAATAAAAACAATAACAACAATTTTAACTTGTAAAATTAAATTAATTAAATAAAGTTAAAATAACATTTTATTGGCAAACCACTTGTCAAAACCCAATCATAGCTATAATCAATCATTATGGTCTTTTCTTAAGCCTTTAAACGTGGGTAGTTAGAACCGTATGTCTTAAGAATTTACAAAGTTATACGTAATAAAAAAATACATAGTATATCTTATGTGTTATTTCAGTAGATGATTAAGAATAACTTTTGGGCCTACCGAGAAAAATTGTTTTATCTTTTCTGTTTTACTAAATCAGTGTAATACTTTTTTACTGTGTAGGTTTATACTGCTTGGTTTTTGACTTTTCTGGTTTGAACCTACTATCCATAGATTCACATCGAAGAGTTATAATCATTTTTGTAGATCTGTGAGTTGTGACTTCCCCGTCCCACTAAACTTCGCCAATATATCGCCAAAAATACACATTTTTTACCGATTTGTGCCTGTATGTTTTCAAAAGTGACAGGTTTAAACGTTCCGGATCTATAATTATAGATTTGTTATGTGCACTAATTTATTAGTTAATGTGAAATTAAATTGATTAGGTTATGAAGTTCTAATAAAATTTCTTGATCGAAGGGAATTAAAATTTTTATTAAACCGTAAGAACGGAAGTACTTTAGAAATGTTGTATAAAAAAATTAATATAAATTTAATAGCAATGCCTTTATTTACTATCATTAACGATACAATATTAAAATCTATTGTTTTGAATAAATGAAGACATTCAAAAAACAGTTATGTGTATATAACGTGTGTACGTTATATACCTCACTTTTTGTTGAGTTTTTAATTTGTATTATATACTAAAAAAAACAAACAAAGCTGAGTTTTGTAATAAAATATAGATTTTATGAAATATAGAAATTTTATAATAAAACACAGAATTTTTATGAAATATATAACTTTTATAATGTTATACAAACATTTTAGGAAATTTAGAAATTTTATAATAAAATATAGAATTTTTATGAAATGAAGACATTTTATAAAATTTAAAAATTTTTATGAAATATTGAACTTTTATAATAAAATCAAGAATTTTTATGAAATTTAGAAGTTTAGGAAAAAAGGTCACTCGCTGGGGGTTATATTTTTAATATTTTTGTGTACGCTACAAGTGCGCTGCCCGGGGCGTAACCGTACTGCGACCCGGCCGAAGTTTTTGGGCTCGGGTATATTTTCCGGGCGGAGTCCGCTAATTAAACTTATATATTTAAAAAGCTAAGAAAATTTCTCATAAGACGGGTATAAGGAAAAAGGGCACTCGCGGGGGGTTATATTTTTCTAAACGAGACAAGTGCGCGGCCCGGTGTGAAAATCGTAGTGCGGCCCGGCCTTAGGTCTATGTCTTGGTTCCAGGCCGCGCGGCGCACAGTGGTCCGAGAGTGAATTATAGGCGCTCAAAAGTCCTATTAATAAATATGCAAAAAATATCATAACAATTATGAATTATTAATTTTAATATGTTTCTAAGACATAATATAAAATTTCAAGGTCATATGTGTCATATGTCATGTGTTTTTACTTCCTTGTACACCTATGTATTGCTATGTGGGTAAAAATTGGCAAATTTTAGTACTACTCTCTTAAAAAAAAACATGTAAAACATCTGATATTTTTCATTCAAAATTATCATATGTTTGAAAAAAATAATTTTTTAAAAAAAATATATTTTTTTCCTTTGGTTATTTACTAGTTAAATAAAAAAATTAAATTAAAAATTTTTTTTTAAAATATCAAAGGGTAAAAAAATTGTAAACGAAATATTATTTTTTGAAATCAAAATAATCGCTTAACTATAAAAACTGAACTTTTAATAGTAATAAAAAACGTCCAGGTACACATATGACCTTGAAATTTTATATTATGTCTAAGAAACATATTAAAATTAATAATTCATAATTGTATTGATATTTTTTGCATATTTATTAATAGGACTTTTGAGCGCCTAGAATTCACTCTCGGACCACTGTGCGGCGGTGGTGTCGTGGTTGCCTGGCAACGGCGGATGGGTCCTCGTCGTAGCATACACGGAATATGCGGCGGCCTCTAGCGGTAGATATCATGATATTTCTTAGGTCACCAGTCGGTAACCACTGCGGTCCATACGGAAAACCGTTATCACACATTGCTAGAATAGAACTGCTAGTTTCACACTCGTTAAATTAATCACATGCACATTGAATTAAAAACCAATATACTTTACTTATGATAGGTAAATAATGATCACGGTAAAGAACGGTTCTTTATAATCGTGATAATGATATACTATATTACGTCCGACGCTTAACGAGTGCGACATCTATCCGATAGTCTTGTTATCTCGGTTTATACTTTACTACACTGATAAGTATATCGATCTATGCATTTAGCATTAATCAAGTATTTAAAATCTATGAACTATGTTTTCAAAACCTTATTACCAATATTATGTTATCTGTATGAAAAAGAAATAATTTTCGATAAATTCTATATAATTTTTGTCAATACCATACATTTATTGATTTATTGTCTCAACCTAAGAATTTGGGCCCAACAATAGTTTATCAAAACAATTAAGTTTTATGCAACTCAATTAATAGAAATTGTATACAATTTAGTCGATAGATTAAATTTAATCTATTCTATGAAGGATAATGGAACATCGTTCAAAATGTATAAATCATAACCAGACATTCCAATTGTACCAAAAGTTTAGTTATTTTACAGTTCCTCTTAGCATAGGTCTATCCATAAATATATAAATTATAATATACAATTATATTTTACGATATCAGTAAATATGTAAAATATATATAATATAGAATAATCATATTTTACATATTTTAGATCTTTCTGTTCTTGGACATAAAGCAATGTTTTTAATTTTATTTAATCTGTGATCGTACAACGTACGATTATTTCATGATAGTTGATAAGAATCTTATCAAATCTTACTAATTGTAAACAACACAGCAATGAACTGATAACATAATGAAAGTTGGAGCTTTCAAATTTTTAGCATATGGTATGTTACAAAAATTAAAGTATAAAAGAAACCTAAATAATAACACACTTTTACTCTTTGTCATTAGGTAAGACTCGTTTAGTTAGGTATTATAATTTTTGGTAAATTGTTTCATAGATTAATACTGATTTATAATACCAATTTCTTAAGACAAATAATCAAATTCTATGATTTTTTTATTTCATTTTAAACTTTATCGATAGATTTCAGTTAGTAAAAGTAAACCAAAAATATGGCTACTAGAAGCCTTACTGACATATTTGTTTTAATGCGAACGAATTCTATACAAAGTCGAGGAATTTATTCATTCAAAAGTTCTAAACATAATGAATATGATTCGGAAAATGAAGATGATGTCGATGATAAAGTAGCGTTAATGGAAACTGGAAGTTCTAAATGGAATAAAACAAACTCTTCAGAATTACGTTCTCAACAAAAATCACCACCTAGTTGGGCAGGCTCACTTGAAGAAGCACAATATTCCATTACCAGGTAATGCATACTCTATTATTACGCTAATTTCATAATATTATTACATTTTTAAAAATAATAATTTGTATTTTTCTATTCTATAGGTTACAGAACAAATTAAAAGAAGTGCAATCGTTACAAGATGCTCAAGTATTAAGGCCTACCCTTGATGATTCTAGTTTACAAGAAAAACATATTCAGGATCTCACATTAGATATTACAAGGGTTTGTATGCTTATAATATCATTTAACCTGTAAATATTAATTTGTATACTTAAATATGTTAAAGATATTTGGTTCGACTAAAAAAATAATTCAACAAATTCGATTACATTCTAATGGACTGTCCGGCAACAAAGAATCCCAGTTATCCTTCAATGTATCGTCGGCATTAGTATCATCACTTCAGATTTTATTCAACGAATTTCGAAATTCACAACAAAATTATCTTAACAGTAATTTAATATACTATTACATGTTATTATATGTATACAGGGTTGCCCGGGAAGATTTGACAAATTAAATAACTTTTGTTCTAGTGAATATTTTTAAGAATTTTCTTTTAAATATAATTTATACTCATTTGCGCTATAAGCACTATGTATTTTATTGCACTTAACAATTTTACTTTTTTAAATTATTTTTTATTTTTTTTGTTACATTTTTAAAAAAAAAATCAAGATAGCCATTTTCTTAAGATTAAATTGCTGAACATTTTGACTGATCGACAACCAGATTTGAATAATTACTTTTTAAGTTACTAAAGGTTAAAGAATAGGATGGGAGGTGGAGTGCGGTAGAGTAAGCGCGTAGAGCTATTTTTATCTGCCCGCATTTCTCTACCGCACTCCACCTCCCATCCTAACGTTTAACCTTTAGTAACTTAAAAAGTAATTTTCCAAATCTGGTTATCGAGCAGTTAAAATTTTCAGCAAATTATTCTTAACAAAATGGCTATCTTGAGTTTTTAAAAAAAAAGGTAATAAAAAAATTAAAATATAATTAAAAAAAGTAAAATAGTTAAGTGCAATAAAATACATAGTGCTTATAGCGCAAATGAGTATAAATTATTTAAAATAAAAAAATCATAAAAATATTCACTAGAACAAAAGTTACTTCATTTGTCAAATCTTCCTGGGCCACCCTGTATATATATATATATAAGTATTTACCATTTTTTTTTTTGTTCATAATGTCTTTTTAAGAAATAAAACGACGAGAAGCTATGTCGTCTCAAATGTTTTTTGAAACTGAAGATAATACCAACAGTTCTGACTTATTAGACATGTTTGATACTGGCTCAACGAACTCATATGGCCAACAATTACAAATGCAACAGTCAAATCAAACGCAAACATTTGCTGCTATATTAATAGAAGAAGAAAATGCTAAAATAGCTGCTCAGTGGGAAAAAGAAGCCAATCAAATCACTAGTTCTGTGGTTGAATTAAATAACATATTTAAAGACCTTGCACACATGGTTGTACAACAAGTAAGTTAAATGTAAATATTTTAATATTTTATATATATATATATATAAAAATAGTAATAGTAAAGATATAAAATCTACTTGAACCCTAAACCATAAAAATTATACACTTCTTGCGTCACAAGAAGTGTATAATTTTTATGGTTTAGGGTTCAAGTAGATTTTATATCTTCACTATATATTTAACCATAAGTTTGCTGAACAGTTTTTTCTAGATAAATAGTAATAATGTTTATTTTTGTTTGATCATTTTTTAGGGCACAGTACTGGATAGAATAGATTACAATATTGAGCAAACTGAAATGAGGGTGAGAAAAGGTGCGTCTGAACTGATTAAGGCTGAAAAGTATCATAGAAGTAATAGAAAAATGAAGTGTATCTTAATACTGGCTCCTATTACTATTGTATTATTAATTCTACTTGATATAACTAAATTTTAAAATGTCTAGTAATTTTCAAACATTCCTATTTCAAAAATATAATAATTCTGTGAATTAATTAAATGTTAGTATTTGTTGTATATACCAAATACAATTGAAGGGCACACAGGAAGAAGGGTAGTAGTCCATTTTTTTCAATTTCTAGTTAATGACACCAATCAATGGTACATTGGGGCTACTAGTAAAAGTCGAAATCCGTTTAGTGAAATATAGTTTATAGTGGGGCCAACTTAGCACTTTAAAAATTGGTTGACATATAGATTTGTGTGCGCAAACTAACTTTGTTTTTGCTCTCCTAAAAAGTTATGATAATTGGACTACATTTCTTTCCCTGTGTCCTTCAATTTTAAAAGCTTCAATACTTTCAGAAACTATTTTGTTTTATTTAAAAAAAAAATGTCTACTCTATTTATCTTTAAATATAATTAATGTACTTTTTATGTAATTGATACTTTTTACAAACTTTATACTTTTTCATTATGCTTTATGTACTAATTTATGATTATATTAGTTTTAATGAATATGAAATATATTTTTTTTTGATAAATATTTCATATAACATAATAATTAAATTACAAGTACAGCACAATTAAAAGTAATTGTTTAAACAAATTCATAATAACTATGGGAAAATAGTAAACGTAGTGTTAGTAAGCAACTCTTCTTTAAGTGTTAATCTATAATCTAGAGTTTATTTATATAATAGACATTTGCAGAACATCTGATTTCATTTATACAAATAGTACAAATATTATATTGTTATAGCTCTTGTCTCCAATAATGTTCTTTTTATAAACTATTTATATGCATTTAATTGACGTAAAATATAATATATTATATTAATTTATTGGCTGTATCAAACAAACATAAAATAATTTATAACTAGTCCACGTGTGCAAATTATATTATATTTATTTTAATTGAATTCATATTTTATGAGACCATTTATAATAATAAGAATTGTTTATTTTTTGTTAAATATATAATATGTTAAGATTAAATTTTATAAAGTTATTGATATTAAATCATCTTATATGAGTTCTTGATTGTAGCCATAATTGTATGTATGTAATTTAGTTTTAACCATAATAGTCAGTATAATACATCACATTATCTTAAATTTACATTATCTTAAACCTATGTGCTCTTATTTCACTCTAAAAAAATCATTAAATCATGCCAGAATGGACATTTATAATTTGTTCTCTTCCAATTGGATCAGAATTTTTTTAAGTCCTATTTGTTTATAATGTTAACATTAACGTAGGTAATTTACCAAAAAAGAGTTTAATAGTTTGTTTTTTAAATAAATTACAAAACTTTTTCCTTTACAAAACGAATGGTTGTCGTGTTTAGGTTCGATGATTTTGTTTAGTCATGTACCTACACATGATTAAATATTTACAAAAAGCTTTTATTGCACTGACTAATTAATGTATAATACATATTATCCCAAACGAGATATAAAGAGTTAATATTTACGGAGGCCCTTAGGAAAATTAGAGTACATGAGCAAATCTTTATTATACGAGTATAAGTATAAAATACTCAAAATACATAGCTTTTAGTGTTTAATTACAATTTTAAGAGGTATTTTTTACAACACAAATAATGTAATTACATAATGCAGTTTTAATTTTGAAAAATTGGTTCTATTATAAAAACAATTGCAATATTTCATAAGTATATTCTAATGTAAAAAGTGAAAATTTCTAAAATTCTTGGCTCTTAGGTATGTGTTTAAGTAATGCTATTTGGGAATTCCAGCGAATATTGGGTACTCTATTCTCGAATAACTATAAAAATCCACATTTTTAAGTGTATTTTCGTATTGTATGATATAATTTTACACAATGAGTACTTTATTTATTAGCTTAAACTTATAAGTTATAAGAATAAAATCATGTAAATTTACTTAACGCAATTTCCATATAATACGGAGCTCTGCATTTAAAAACTGAACAATTTCTACTTTCAGCTTATATATAAAGCATAACTTATGCAGTAGAAATATTCTATCCTGATTTAATATTTAATTCAAAAACTAAAAAAATTCTCCAGAGAAAGTTGTTTTTTTGTGTCTGTACCCACGATACATTTTAAACCAAAAGTTGTATAAGTTCACCCCTTCTCATTTAAAATCGAGAAACACCCGAAAATGTACATATTTTATAACTTAAAATTACGGCGTGCTATAACTTTTTTTTTAAATGTTGAATTGGTTCTAAATGTATATAGAATATATATATATATTATAGCATACTGTTACCAATGTACGTTGACAAACAAAATAAATATTTTAAAAAAATAACACTTTTCTCCAGAAGGGGTGGAAACCAAACCTATGCTCTATTTAAATTTTTTAAACGAAGGTTTAGAACTTATGGTCTGAAAATTAGATAAAAGGTAGGATAGACTGATGCTATACTTATATTGTTAATTCATGGGTAACAACGGCAACAGCCAACAAATTATTATTGACAGACGATCAACCTAAATTCTAAAACGTATTCTCCATAATACTAGAAATATTATTGTAAACGTGTTATAGCTTTTACAAATGCTTAAATACTTATTTCGATTTTAGTTTTTCTATAATCTGCAGATTCGCATCAAAACGTTTAAATGAAAGTTTTTTATTACTACTTATTTTTTTTTAACAAGTATTTTGATTTTGTACTTAATTTATTTTTCATTAATCCATAAATATAATTACATCCTAGGTAATGTAAAATAATAACACGTTATGTCTGTGTGCACTAAATAATCTTCTTAATTAATTATTATAGTCGGTTAGTATTCGGTGCGGTATACTGGAACATGACATTGACCCCGGCATAGTGGAAGTACCTATTTATTTTTAAAAACGATTTTCCTTTCATTGTATCATCATTGAGTCATTTAAAGAGGAAACATTAGGGAGTTTTTGCACTAACCATTAAGTAAAATTACGTATAAGATATCGACTAGCGGAAAATACTAACGTTGAAGGTGCAATCCCTTTTGCGGTCTGTTTTGTTAACCTATGAGGCCAAAAAAGCTTTTTAGAAAGAAGATTTTACAAATTAGTTTGTTATTGCCTATATAAAACTCCTTAAAACCTGACCGCTTCAATCCTAATAAACCGTAATTTTATGTTGCTCAAAAATTAAAAAAAAGTACTTTTTTAATATTATTCTAAAAAATTACTAAAAAGCTTTAAAAATTGAATTTTTTCACATAGAAATTATTAATTAATTAAAAAATTGTGTCACCATAGATAGCTTGTAAATATGTTATCAAGAATTCAAATAATCAAATTATTTTCAAAACTTAAATCGGAGTATTTTTAGGGACGTAGGTTAGATTAGGAGTAGAAATATTTGTTTTTGTATATAAATAAGGCCGTTTAGTCGCGATAAAAGTTGGAAAAAAATTAATATCATAATAGATACCTCTTTTCTGCATTAATTTACGAGCTCACAAATTATAGCTTAATGTTGTTTTATTGAAAGGTTACCTATACAATACGCCTTAATAAATGCTAGTGTAGAGGCCCATTACATATTAGACAATAGTAGATACTATCTGGTGCTATAATAATATACTATACTTATTTTTTCCAATTTTTTAAAACGTTTTGAGTATATCTCATAAAAGTAGCGTATTGGCGTTTACAAACTAAACGTTTGAAAAAAAGGTGGATATACATTATACATATTTCCTTCGTTCAATTAAAATAACCAAATTTTAACTAAATCAATTATGTTTCTCATTCTAACTAAAAACCAAGTTATAAATTGGTTGAAGTTTGTATGACAAACAATCCTTCAGGTAATGTATAGCTTACAGGCGAGTTCCACTTAGATGCAACACTGCGCTTCTCGATATGCTTTGGCAATTAGGGTCTCTGTCTCCTTTAGCCCTATACAAGTGGGGTTATCAACCCATCACCCAAATACACTATTTTTTCGGGACTTCTCTTATTGTAAAATATGATATTAACTGCCAAGTTAATATTATTAAATAAATTAATAAAATAATTATTTAATTATATGAGTCGTACATCAACACCTATTTCTGCTAAGGTAGCAGGGATTGAGCAACAAGTAAAATATATTTTTCAATTTCATCCCACTATTATACGCAGTATACCTACTTTGTACATGCTGTGCACAAATTATTTGATCTCCAATCATAATTAGTATGACCATTTTATATAACTAAATGTAACGTTTGGCGAAACGATAAACCCAGATTACATGGATATAGCTAAACCGTCATTTGTCTCGCCGTTAACCAAAATAATATATCTATATATTTTCGATATCGTGATGACTGCAGAGTGCAGACTGATGACAAACAAATCCTTCGTGTTCCAACTGAACACAAAACGCGATACACGCAGTATTTTTGGTGGTCTAACTGCAGGTAAATACAAAATACATAGTGTAATATTATTATATACTATATATACAAATTGTCGACGGTGGGGAGGTCGGTCACAGTGACGGCCGACGGCTGGCGAGTGGCGGACCGGACAAAACTCCAGAGAGGACCCACACCAGTCGCTGCGTATGTTGAACTCGTCGAGGTCGGCGTTTATCCGTAAACACTGTGCCGGTAGTTTTTCGAGTGGGAAACATTACAGACAACTGCAGTGTATGCCGATAAATTCAAAAAGTCAAATTGATTTTCAAAAAATATGTTTGATCACGAGGAAAGTCTTGGACTCCGATAAAAGAATATCGTCGTCCGAGTTTCTGTGTAAAATTAAAAATAATGTAAGTACTTGATAATATTACTTATGCAAAATTAATAATAAACAAATAAATATTAACGTTAAATTAAAAAAAAATCATCAATAATAACTATTGTATTAATAATAACATTTTATTCGTTTGATGGGCTGATTTGATTATTTTTTATTTACTATCCCAGAGGCCTTATATTTTGCTGCCTTTCTTACCGGCCCATAATCCGACCGCCATCCGATTGTAGCCCAATTAATACTAATAATTTAAAAATATGGTAAAATATTAATATAAGAAAAAAATGTATAAATATACAACATTTCTACTAATCAATTAATTGTTATAATATTATTGGCTATATGGGTAAATAAAAAAAGTGAATTATTGTTATTTATGCACTACAACGATATCCGAGTAGAAATCTAAGGTACAAAAAGTGCTTAACGTAACGATGCGTTAAGTATAAAGTTGAAGTGTACAATTTTAAAATTGGTTTAAACAAAATTAACTTAGGTAATAAAAGAAGTCAGAATTGTTCAGATTTTAGTACATGATACGGGTGGTTATCACTATTAAAGTGGTATCTATGTGTATACATCATAAATACGTCAATACCAATTATGTTAATTATTGACAATCTAAGAAACATTCAGTACAAGTTAACGAATTGTATAAGTTTACCTTTAACTCACTATAAATGTAATTAGCAAAAATATTTCGAACTTCTTGTAAAAACAAAAAGTTATTCAAGTTAACTTTCTTAAAACGGGATACGGATTTTTCCTAGGTGGTTTTTAGTATAATTTTTTAGGGGACTTAAAAGTCTAACATTTAACTATAATATGTTATTAAATATATTTACATATTATAGAACGTTTGGAAAAAATTAAAAAGTTATAGTCACGATTTTATTGTTCTATTATTATAGTGGGGATATAAAAAACATTATAAACCACTATTAAAACGAGATTTTGAAATCGCATTTAATTTTATTACTTATTTTAGCTTGGTTATAATTTTTTTTATATCTAATACATTTTTTAACGAACTATCACTTTTTATTAAACTATTATTATTGCTAAACCAGAAGTCACCCTAGTTGCGCTTGCCGTACTAACTCTTTTTTTTTAGGCATGATTGTTCGTAACCTCGTCCCAAACAAATGGGTTTGGCCACCCTTTTTTGTATGTAAAGTAAATATTAGATTTTCCTGAGTAATCAGCGAACAGCGTATACAGGTATCACAATGATCTTATACATAGTTACCTACAATAAAATGCATGTTAGTTTGTCAAATCATCGTGATACATTCTGTAAATAGGCTATTCTAATATCTCAATATTTTTAATTATTTAGGTTTTAAAATGTATAGCATAATAAATTATGATTTAATTAAATAAAACGCGACTTTCCTGTTTGTGTATAGCCGTTACCTATTGTATATTTTCGCTGTTCACACACGGTTTCATATAAGGACAGGTTTTTATTTCGATAAAATAGTTAACGCGTTATTCTTGATCAACACGATATATTAAAATTTACGTATAAATACTTTATAATTGATTATCAATGGGCAATCTATCCCGGAAAAATCGTGTCCATCGAAACACAACCATTTTATATATCTATAGGTCACACGCTTATATGTTATAATATAGTATAGTTATTGTTTATTCACTTTATTTATGCCAAACTCGTTGTAATCCACCTTGTCGGCGCACAATCTGCTTTAGCTATAGGTAGCCTATGTACATCACAGCATGTGTACCACAAACCCAGTTAACGCCTATGCGATTTTTCAACGTTTTAAGATTATACCGAAGTATTATTTTTATTTATTTTATTTAACACGGTACGAACCCATGTTTAATTTATATTATAATATTATAAATTAAAATCGCCGTTTTCCATCTACAGCTAAATGGCTAATATAAATAATATTTTACTATCTCTAATAGCACAAGAATAAAGAAGTACTTACCCACCGACTTAACTGAACGATCTTAATGCAGTTGATGAACTTAGCTAGATAAATATATAGATTTATTTATTTTAATTTTAGAAACCTAAATATGATAATATTACAATATTATATTATTAACAATACAAAACACAACATAAATTATATATTTATAATGATAATCTCCGTAAGTTAAGCTTGTTATGGAAACAAGAGTTTTATTCCATACTAAAAATGTATACTGTAATACATACTATGTTAGAGGTATAATGTAAATGAAATATTAACAACTTAAGATATTAAAAATTTAATTTTTTCATACAATTTAAGCCTTGTTAACAAACCATCATCTTCCGAGTTCCGTCCATTAATCAATATTGGTCTGAACTCGGACATCGGGAAGTCAATAGATGAAAAGTCTTATATAAAGTCAGCGGGTACTACCGATTACCTTGTAGGAACTATGCTGTTAGGGATGATATTCACGATCTGCGCACTTACGTCTAATGGTCCGTGATCGCGATGGACTTAATATTAGGTGCGTTATGATCTAAACGGAAAATGTATAACGACGGTATATTGCCTTACCGGCGAAGATCATGGGTTCGTGCGATGATACATTTGAGATCACGAACGGGTCGAATATTATTATACATAGAGGTAGACGTCGTTTCTCACGATTAGTTTCAGTATTCTTCTGTACTTTGCCCGCACTTGCCGCAGAGTTAATAGAAAAGCTGCACACTCGTTGTGCAATGATCAAGACGCCGTGGGACAAGTAGAAAAATAATATGGCGAAATCACCACGGAGGCGGTTAGACCTAATATTACCTGGTTTTGGAACGAATTAACGTCACGAGAACGACCTCGGTTCAATAAAGTTTCACATTGTTGTGACCGACCGATTATTACTAGGAGGACGTGGAAAATTATTGAACGGACAATGATATAGTCTAAAATATTTAAATTAATACCGGTAATGGAATTACAAATTGGCCTTCGCGTTTTCATAATAATTCTTCGACGCTTGGTTAAAACGAGTTAATTTGGATTTTTACAAAAATTACGGTTTTAACTCATTTTGGTCTATATTTCTTACCCTGCCCATTTTGATCTGGACGAATTAATTGTATAATAAAAATAATTTAAGTCAAAATCATAAAGAGTAAAGTAAATTTGTTTTTTAGCTAATCAAAATGAGTCGAGTTTACAAAAATCATAAAATCACTTATAATATTGAATTTTTAACATTTTTTTTTTACAAAAATTCCAATTATTAAAACAATAAAAACATACTCGAAAATTTTTTTTTTTAAAAAATTGAACTTATAATAATTTGAGTATTCTTCCTAAAAAGTTTATGTTTTTGACTAAACACCGATGAATTATGAGGTGATAACTTTGTCATTTCATGATAAATATTGGGTAGGTACATGAAAACACAATTTTCTATTTGGTATAACATATTGTTTTTTATTAAAGTACAAAGAATACAAACAATGAACAATTCTTCACGTTTAAAGGTTCAGTGTGTACTAGTCGTGAGTTAGTTCGAGTATTCATTATAAATAAATGTACTTCAATGAAAACAAAAAAAAAAATTATATATAATATTTATATACTTTTTATTATAGTTATGATTAATATTTTAGCTGAGAAGGTTTTTTTTTGTGCATCAACTCAATACGCTTTTTTATCGATAAAACTAATGTTTATTGACGAAAGAAATCATGTGAAATTTAACTTATCCATCTTAATTTAAAAGAAATGTATTGATGCATACGTAGAAGATACAGTATTTTTTAATTCCTATATTTTGAATTATATTCTCTGTTTTATAATATTTTACTTTACATATTTTGTTTTATACGTATACATTTAAAACAACGGTTCAAGTGTATCTCTAGCCTATAATAAGCCATACGTGCACACGCCTATGGTTATGAATTATAATATTTATATTATGTATTATTATTATCGGTGTAACGGGTTTCTTGTGTATCGATTTCGTAGCACTACTACGAATGCACACTGCACAGTGCACTGTTTTGAACAGTCTCTTAGAATGACTCATTTATACGAAACCCACCTATTTGATGACTAATAGTGTAATATGTATATTAGAAATATATGTACAGGTATTGGTATTTATATCTCGGATGAAGGAATTACGCGACAAGGAGAACGGAGGCGATCTAATAGATCTGTTATTCGAGGTTAACGGACTGCAGCCAATTCCGGTGTGTAATTCCGATGACCGAGAACCGTCTTGATTGATTATTATTATATATCATTTATTTGGCCGTTGGAAAAACGAGCATTGTTTATCAATCTCTAAGTGAATTTTTGTTGTCGACGGCGTCAGTATCGGTTTGAACGTCTCTACTTTTACGGTAAAACGCGTTGACACTTACCTTGGCATTTAAACAAAGCGCCTATGGCTATGGGTACTGACTCCGGTGAATAATTCCCTTCTTCAAGCCTGGCTGGAGACGACAGTTGTATACGAAATTCACTCGGCCCATCACTATGGGTACATCAACCTTGACCGTACGCACGTCCCAGCTGCATAGCTATACGCACATGGTCAGTTTGTAGTCGTAGGCTTCGGTCTTTTAACACAAAGAACACCAATAACTATAAAAACAAAAGTAATACTATGTACACTATAATGTTATAGCCACGGAATAACAGCTGATCTTGGTGAACTGATATTAGTGAACAAACCATAAAATGTGTATTAAAATTAAAATTACAGCAAACAGCTGCAAGGCGTAGTTAATATAAGATGTTGTTATAGGTTATAGCAAGGAGACGCAATGTCTCTAAGTCTATAAGCATTGTTTCTATATTGGACATAAGGACCGTGGTTGAAGGATGGGGGTACGGGGCGATGCCATCCGTCTACTTCTTTAATTAGTATTTTCCTTTTATTTATAGAGCATATTATTTTTGGAAATTTGCTAAATCCTCGTTCGATAGCTACTTGTGAAACAGGTTTACATGAATTTCTGTTCACCAATTTCGACTGAGTTTAAACATTATATGCATGTGTGTTTTATATTATCGT